CATTTGATGGAGTCCAGAGGAGATAATTTGAATTCACCAAGCTATTATCAAGGCATATTCATTTCGCACTCTTTGCCGTGATTTTCGAATGAAGAGGAAATTATTATAATTGATACTTATAACTTTTTTAATTGATTTGACAGTGTCTACTTAAACAAGTGGCCTTCGGATTTAGTATGATTTTGTTTCCTGCGCAAAATTATTGCATCTGATACTGGAAGAAAAATTGACTCCTCAGGTTATTTAAGTCATCCTAGGCACCACCCAAGGTGACTAATGTGATCTTGTCCTCCTTAAATGTCGGCTGTTGTTTACAAACAACGGCACACACATGTGACGCTCCGCCTTTCTTACTTGAACTTACAATTCACGCATGAATGACTCGCCTTCCGTGCCAGAATTCAATCACTTGTTACTGCTGTTTGAGTCGAGTGGTGTGAAGAAAATTGCCCCATTTTTGTCATCGGTACAAATTCCGAGATGTGAAGACCGGAACACAATTAATGAACTTGATTTTACTAGGTCTTTTGCTCTTGCGAATGATAAAGGGCTCAGCTTTCACCGAGAATGTTTCCTCCGGGTGGAAGGAAATCGAGTACAATCAGAGATGATTAAAAACTTGGGAATTGGTTGATACACAGGATTTCTGACGTTTAAGTTTGAACCAGTAGTGTCGGGTCATGCAAAGGCGTGCAACCAAGCTCCAGGTTGAGAGAGATGGGACATTAACAAAACACCCTGTTCCCACTTACACGTTCTGGGGGGAGGATCAGCATTGGATAGCCAAAGCACTCTTTAATCATATCATACAAAATAATTTGCCTCCCAAATCTTCTGTCTTGAAAATTTATACCCATCAGGTATTTTGAACTTTTGTTTATGAGTCCGGAAAAATCGTAGGAATTTTAAACTTAGTTTTACGATGAACAACTCAGGCAATTTGTCACTTGACATTTCTCATGCTTTCTAAATATTTTTTAATTTCTTGATGGAATTCTAGCGGACCTTGAAAAAAACCTGTTTCTTTCCGTGAAACTCCAAAATTTTATAAGAGATACATTTTAGGAAAAATAGATCTCCATTGCAAATAGGTGTTTGCTGTCTGGTGCAACGGCATTGAGTTATTTCCACTAATTTAAACGCACGATGGCTACGGAATACGGGACCGAGCAACCAAAGTGGGTAAAGTAGGGAATCACGGCTATCCACCTTGTCATGTCTTTGGTGGTTTCGACTCTACAGACACCACAGGGAGATAAAAAACCTACAATCCAGGTGAACAACTCCTTTGCAGGGGGAAAATAGTGACAGGGAAATTGACAATGTGAATGGCTTTTCGGCAACGGCGACTTAAAAAAGAGCACCATTATCTGGAAGGGGAAAAGAATGAGAGGGGAAAGTGTGTTTTTAGCACTATGCTTTCCACCTTTACAATCCTATTGAATGCTGACTGGTGCAAGCACGCGGCTTACTACTTCCTCTTGTCTCCTGGGGATGGAGTGTTCATTACTGAACTCCTTCCTGATCATTATTCATCAAAAAATTGATTGACACCAATTGACAAGGTATCGAGAGGCTGAGCAACTCCAATGAAATGCAAATAAGATATTGTTTGTCATTTTTTCATTTGCAAAAGACAGCGGAATTTTCCCGTGTTAGCATTGAGGAAACGTATTTCTACGCGTAAACTAGTGGAACCATGGGCAAATGCTCACGGTAAATCGGCAGAGTAGCAGGAGAAGCTACACGAAAAATGCAGACGGTCATTGTAAACAAGTAAACGCAAGTGCGCATTTAAAACCGTTTCAAGTTGCGACAACTGCATGATTCGTTGACATACTGCGCAGGCAATTAATAATGGGGTGGTAAATATCAATTGCGTAGGTTGAATTCAATCATTCTGCCGACCCACTTTTACCGACATTAATGGGAGCTTCTACTTTTATTCTTAGTTGAAAGGGTAGAAATGTCAAATATGAGCATTTAAGAGTGGACGTCTGTCATGTCAGTTTGCGTCCCCTCAAACCATCACTATGGTACCGAAAACGGGGACTTTTGCCATTAATACAAACAAAAGGGAACCACTGCCAAATTAAATAACAGACGGTAAGAAAGAATGAAACTGTTCTGCTTCTGTGGGCAATAAATGGTTCAAATTGGTTTTACGTTTTTAGAATATTAAACGGGAATATTGCTAGAGCTTATATGTTATATTCATTGAAAAATAGTGTTTTATCGTGAGATGCAACAACGCCTTGAAATGAGGAGACACTTCCAAAGACCCAGAGAGGAATGTTCTTATTCTTTAACAAATTTCTCTTAAAATCGTTTACTATCAAACGTGCGCCTACTGTTTATTTCAAGCGTTAATTTGGGAAACAAAAAGTCCAACAACTGTAGCGATGAACTACAAAGACGTTGCGGGTTCCTTTTTAAACAGTAACGGCACGAAGAGACTGCTGGTAAATGAGCCAGATCACGTAAGTCCAAACAGTCCATTACACGAAAATCACGAGATTTGGCTTAAAGGAAGATGCAATTTCATGTGACGAGGGGTATTAGGTGAGGCACTGAGGCTGTTCCAGACAGATTCACATTTCGAAGAGTAGCAATGATTAGTAAGGAAGTTAGGGAGATCTTCCAAGCCGCCCACTCTACCGTAGGTACTTTCCACGCATTCCACTCAGACTAAAGGTTTGAAAGGCAGAACATGATTTAATGGTGATAAAGATGGAGAGCGTTCAAGTCAAACCGGTGTCTAAAGTGGGGCGTGCTATCGTGGCGAGGCAATATACCTCGTCGTCGTCGTCGTCATGGATACTCGTGCGTGTTGGCATGTGAAGGTATGAGCTAGTCAACAGAATCTCTTCATATTATGGAACCTGTGACATCCGAAGAAATGGAAATTCAACCTTCCTTATTGAAATATCTCAAGTACATTTTGCACACCATGAAGTTGGAGTGACCATCCGCTTATCTGCCGAGTATTCGACTGAACAGTATGAGTGTCTTTAAGAGAATCCTACTTGGGTTCGTAATTGGTGACGGGTGTAGCTGTGGCTTCCAGTCCACCATCTCTCCAGTCATTCCTGTAAACATTTGTTAGTGCGCGGAACGTCCGTCTGATCACAAACACCAGGTTGACCCATAACCTGCTGTGAATTGGCACAAATCAATCTTTTTCTGCAGGAGGAACGATGATTCAACGAGATCACCTACGGATATATGTAATTTGAAGGAACTGACAAACAGTGGACATCGCGACAGGGAGGCTCATAAAACAAATCATCCATGACTCTTCTATTCAGATATTACTTAAATGTTAAGTAAGTAAACGTGACAAGGATCCATGTTTCCCACTTTCCCGGTGAATTTAGAGGCCCCGATTTGACGCAATGACTTCCTGTAAAATGCCTCTACAAATTCAATGCAGGCAAATAGCCTGATTAGCTGATTAGGTTGAGCAAATTGTGAACAAATTGGGGTATACACCGTTCGTGTCGTTAACTTGCGTGCCAATATGTTTAAATAACTTTATTAACTTTTGCGCACGAGCTAAAACCTTTTGCTCATTTGCTTATTCAGCCGTAGAAGTCGCACCCGTTCTTCCATTAAAAAGATGCCTCCCATCTTGACTGATTTAAACAATCCACAGTAAGAAAAACATTGAAAGGTAACCTGTCTCTAAATAAGTTGAAGAGGCTTTGCTCTTTTAGGCTTTGCTCAGATATATCTTTACAAACAACATTATAGATAAATTTAAGACTCCTTTTCCCACGTGCCCTACACAAATGGTGTGATACGACCCACGCATGAGAGCGAAATAGCAGACGTGACATTTGCAGTTTTAGCAACTGGTAAATGAGCGATTTTGACCATATTTTGTGATGAGGAGCGACTTTGCAGTAAAAAGTAGTTTGCTAAAAAAGAGAACACTTTCTATCATTAACTGCTCAAGGTGGATACAAATGCCCAAAAGGAATTTTGCCTTGAATTAGTCCGCCAATAAGAAAACGTTCCAATTAACTATGCGTGGTGCGGGAAATTTAAATCGCCACCTCTAAAAAACATTTTTTCCAAATAATTAGCATGTAACTAGGAAAGCTTTTACATTCTGATGTGTCGGGTGCAGCTTTTGTTAATTGATTTGGACTTCGACGGGTAAGTTTCAAGTGATTTGTGAGGAAAAGTACCAAAATAATGAATTAATCAGAACCCCGTCAATCGATACTGCTAATGCTTCGATATCAGTAGCATCCTAAACTTTGCAAACTAAACTCAAAATTATGCCTTAATTCATCTCTCAGGACATTTAATACTTTATAGCAGGGTGGTGGTTTGACGACCACCCCGCAAAAGGGTTGAGGTGGAATGCTTGAAGAGACCTCCGAGAAAGCAAAGTGGTGATTGAAACTGCTCAGATTGAAGGGGCTGCAATGGTAAAAAATGCAGCTTAAACAAATAGTTTCGCTGTCACAACAAGTTTGGATAAATCCAGTTTGATTTATTACAATTACACCAAGTCGACTGCCATGACTATTATCAGCAGTACGTAGTTGACCTGAAACAATTTACATCTGATAAAGCCAATGGGAAGGATCATGGAGGTGTCATTTGTCTACTTGGGTTGTGGGATACCCGAAACACCTTTAAAAGCCCTAGTATCTTCAGCCCATATTGGAACCAACATCTGCGTTCGAAATGTGCAATAGGATAATTAAGAGCCTCAAATGATGTATGACTTTACTACTTGATGCATTTCTGCAGATCTATTAAAGTCAGCTCTCACTGCACATAATCGCCTTTGACTTCATTCATTAGCAATAAATAGTGTCCATTTCAACATTTATGCGCAATGTTTACGAAGATCTCAGCTTAAATTCATAATTTGAAACTAAAAACACGCCCCTGCAGATACAGCAATTAGCATAAACGCTTTTGCGACAAGTCATGCATACTTCAGCGTGTCAAAAAAGACAGGAAATGGGTTGACACTTATTATGGACGAGCAGGTGTGTGGCCTGGATTCTATCGTTCCCCCACCCAGCTATGTGGGTAAGCGAAAGAGGGTACGGTTGGGTTGACACGCTCCGGGCGGACGACTAGGTGGTGGTGTCCACCTGAGTCATTCGGTCGTCTCAGTCACGTGTAGTTCTGACCCTGATTGACCCTAGCCTTCATTGTGTGGTGACGGGTACACTTCGGGCAAATCTCTGCTTGATATACTGTTCGGCAATTAGCTGCCAATTGGAGCTTTCCAAAATGTTCAACAGAAACGTTCTTCTAGGGTTATAGGCAACCTCAGTAACCAAGACCATATTTATATACTGATTCCTCGAAGCATTGTCGGCCCAGGAATAGGGAATCAAGGTGTCCTACAATAGAGTTCTTGCTGGACAAAATTATTTAGGGGCAACATTTTAAAGTGCGAGGTGGAGAGGGGACTCGAGTCACACAGCTAATACGTGAATGCTCGGCTAATCGTGCTTGTCAGAGAGCAATTTTTCTACCAATGGACTAGCGACTAAATTTAATCTGAGGAAGAAGAGGAGGGGGAAAAGGAGGAGGAGGAGGAGGAGGAGGAGGAGAGAGAGATCAAAATCGGATTAAATGAGCAGGATGAGCGCCTGTTAAGTAATTGAATGGAGTACCGAAAGCAAAGAATTAGATGACAAGTAACGAATTCAGAAGGATGATTTCTTTTTTCCCTACAAAGGGCTATTAATTTTCTGTCCCTTAATTAATGATTTTTTTCAACGAGGGCATTTCAAGGTAAGGAATGAGAAATACCCAGGAGATTCCATTTGGCTTATTGTATGATCTCGTTTTCACAACCACTACGCTGACCTCATTATAGGGTGGGGAAGTTATTATCAGCTCAACAAAAAAGGCTTCGCCAAAGGCCGAAGTGTTGACTTTCAGTGACATGCAGGTACGTGTAAAATGCATGCTCCTGCCGGTATGCATGGGTAATGAAGAGCAGAGATGTGCTGGTCTATTCATGCGGCATTCGCTGTAAGGTATCTATAAATTTTTCGTTGTTCCAAAATCCTCAAACCGCAGTCAGATAAATACGATTCGATAGCGCCTGTAGTGAAGCTGCCATTTGACCCGGTTCTGAGGTCGATGCGGCAGAATTCGAAGTTATTTGTTTAAGAGATGCTCCATTTAATCACCTACTTGATGGATGAAGAGTCCTACAGCTGCAGCGATAAAATACAAACTTCTTGAGCCTAAATAACTTACAGCGCAGAAAAAGCAAGATTTAGCTTGAAGAATAATGTACCATCAATTGACCAGTGGGGTATAAGCGAGACATTAAGACTGTTGCAGACGGGAGAGATAGATGCTCCTCTACCGACTTTTGACATCACGTGCTTCAATCCGCCGATTTTCAGCGTCTTGATGGTAGAGATTAAAAAATGGCTCCTTAAGGAGTGCCGCTTGACTATTTTTTGAAGTCAGAAAAGTGAAGGAATCCTGCATTTAGAGAATCAGCCTTCAAAAGTAATGGAATAAATGCTAGTAATATTTGCATTTGCATTTTCAACCGCATGCACTACCTGAGTGGACGCCTGAACGCATTCTCTCCATTCTTCCCTCTTCCATTTGTGCGTCTATATGACTTGGATTTGGGGAGATAGTCCTGACGTTCATTCTGTACCTCTACGGACTTGTGAAGCAACTGCGATTGCCGTTAAGTGTTACCCTCTTCCCACATTCCATTTTGGGCAGTTGAGCTGAAAGAGCGTTAATCTTACTATTGTGACACGGTGGAAGCTAATTATCCCCTTCCTTAATGGCTTAAAGGGTAATTAAGGGTGGATTTGATCATCTATCACTGGTGTGTGAGATCTCTTTCACGCTTAATTTATTGCCTTAAAATTATAAAATAAGTGACATTTTTGCCTTTTTTCATTTGTAAGAAATAAGCAGTCTTTACAGATCCAACAGAACGCACGCTTTTCCGTGCTCTTTGTTTTGCACCTCTTGCTCCTCCTACACCCAAAGAAACTTTTCCTCTTGTGTTGTTCGCGTTTTTCGTTTTGCACTGTAATAATAGAGTCAGCATAAGTTTACTTTTTTGTTAACAAACGAAAAAATGCTTTTACATATTCACAACCTTGTGCCGTCAGTGGTAAGGATTGGAATCGGTGCCAATGAAAGTGTCACTTTGACTGATGACTTACCACTTTTACTGCCAGAGCGTAAAGGAAAATTAATTTTTTGGGGTCGAATTTTTTTCCTATTATCTAGTAACCTTAGATAAATAAAAAAGTGTTCCACTGCTTTAGACTCGGCATACTTGGTGTGATCAATTGTAGGAAGTTGACGAGGAGATTATCATGCTGCCTGGTAGAATTTTACATTTTTTAAATCCACATCACCTACGGCTGATATCCACCTCCTTAAGACGCTATAACTTGAAAGGGTGGGGGAAAAACTTTTTCATGAGAAACACTTTAGTGCAAATAATCAGGCAAAAAATAAGTGCAACACTTCAAACCTTAAAGTTGGGACGCAGAAAATTTTAGCTTTGGGATGGGAGGAGGAACGATACTACCTCATCCTTAATCTTAAGCCTTTAAGCGATGGATGCGACCAAGTCTTGTCTTCGGCTTTAGACAATGACGCTGCCACCTGCTAGAGGGAAAAAACAATTGGGTGAGGGTTGAAGGTGGCATAAAAAGGGGTAGATTTCCCAATAAAAACTGAGGTTTGCAGTCGATGAGCATCTTCTTGGGGCGTGAGTCGTAGATCGTAATGCTGGCTACTTGACTGCGTAAAAATATTTTAAGAATTGCTGCAAATTAGCCACTTTTATCATCTCCTATCTACCAATTTGATCTCCACGTTGGTGGCACAGAGCACACCATCCCCACATCGCCTAGTCCGCTTTTTCCCCATTTGTTAAAATACTAAATCATTTTATTCCTTTGGATCTTAACAGATCGAATTATGCTTCCATTTTGTGATTAGCACTGTCGATAGGTCAAACAGACGGCAGGAGTGCCTAGATACTTCTTCCATGCCCGAATTTTTCCTGTCTAACCTCTCGGAGGGGCACGTGAGAATTTGTCAGACGGTAATGAAGGCAGGAACGATGGTGGCTTGTGGGAGATAGAGCAGGTGGTGCGGTCTAAGCAAAAAACGTCGGTAACATCTGCTTCTTGCTTCCCTTTGAGGTGACCGCTGTTTCTGCTACTACTTCACTCCCTCCCTCTCGCTGCCTTTTGTTTTAACTGACTGCTCATAAATATAGCGGGCTCGTTAATTGAGGGTTTGAGACTTGGGTAGGCGGGAAGGGAGGGAAAGGAGAGGCAAAAATAATTATCCCCTTTGATGGAGGATAATAATACCTCTATATTTGCGAACATAATGAGGAGCAGCTACTATCCGATAAAAGATGTTATTTAGATTAGGTATTAAACCAGATAAAACGTGATTAATTCATTTATGCAAAGGGTTTCATACTCGATTAGCTATTTTTGGAGGCAAAGTAATGACTTGTCAGCTGGAGATTTTTCCCCAATGACATCTCATTACATCACTCAATCTATTAACCCGCGCCCTCTGTACATAATCCATGTCAGGTGTATTTATTAGGAAAGAAGTAAAGTGGGACACATATGGCAAAGCAACTGTTGCCATGATCTCAGGAGTAAAGTCAAATAGCGCATCCTGGAGATTTCATTAGTTTAAAGGACCTCAAATGTCAGTCATTGCCTCCCTTCGGGGACAACTCGGTGAACCCGATGTATGAAGGGGAGGCTTTTACTTTGGTCCAGTCATCCCGTTTTGCAAAAGGAGGATACCTTCTGTGGATGGATGATTCTAGGTTTTATGAAAATATACCATCTTTTTAAAAACCTTATCAGCGTCTTATCAAATTTTAACTAATTACTTCCCATGTTTTTCTAAACGTCTTTAAGAGCGGGGCATTCTGCTTCTCAATGATGTATTTGGTCAAGTGTCACAGAAAAAAAATTTGACTGAGATAGAGAATATGTGCATCACACAATACTGTCCATCCTTTGGCATTTCGTTCCAAGAAGATTCGTACCGTACATGTTTCACTTTGTAGAAAACACGATAATCTGAAATTCCGACCGGACCGATGGCACTAATTAATAGCATTCTTCTACTGGTGCGAGTTCACTACCTTCGGTCCTATCTCAAGGCTAATCTGAGTTTGCACAAAACTCGTTTCACCCTCTGCAGAAGGTTAGATTTGGAGCGAGCTCGTAAAGGCACCTTTTTTAATATGGGTTTGACTACACCGGATTATAGCCATCCCCATGGCCTTCATCTCATCCGTACTTCCATAGTGCCATGATTATTACTGCTACAGAGGTGAGTGGAGATGCGAATGAGAGAAAATCAGTTGACAAAGTACATTGTCCTACCACTTTACATTTACCATTTTAAATAAACTTTCTTAGTGCTGAATGGTAGAGTTAAAACCCCTGAAAAACAGTACGCTAACATCTATTTTGGGAAAAAGGCCTGCTATTTAAAGCATAAAATTGGTCTCAACAGGAATTTCTGATTCCAATTCGAGTGGACAAACCCCCGAACGCGTGAGAAGACGTCTGAGGGTGGTTGACTGAGAATCAAGTGGACGGGACGTTCAGCACCTCATCTCAGAATTTCATTTTACTTTTCACCTATGGGAGCTTTGCAGTGAGACAAGAAATAGTTAAACTTATTTAAAGGTGTCAGTTAAGAAAACTTTAATTTAACACATTTAAGCAGTCAATGATGTGAAAAGTAACGCGATTAAAGAGAAGTAAATTTCAATTTTAGTTTCGAATATATTTGCGCTAGTTTTACCGTCATAACTAAAACCACTAAAGCTATTGGAAAAGTTCTTTACTCATACTAGCTGAGTCTCTAATTGTACCTATGGTGCTAGCAAAGGCCTCAAAAGGCAGTTTATGTATTTTTGCAAATAAACTTAGGCTCGGTTCAACGCGAATGAAAGAATATATAAAAGAGTTCGTGAATATTTGGCTCTGGCTTCTTATATTTGCCATTTTCCATGCTTAGGAGGAACTGCGAATTGCGCAATTATTGCTTTAAAATAAACTACAGATGTAAATAACACATTTACAGTGGAATTTAAGGCGGCACATCTAATTCTTCCATGCTAGTAGCTAGACACCATTGGTAGGACTGTTCATGAATTTAATGAAAGAAATTGAGGAAAATGAAAAAAAATCATTCAATTCTGTTATGTTCTGAAACTACCACTTTTTAATAATGAAGGAAGCCACTTTCGATTGGTCTTGAAATAGAAAAAAAAAAGCATTAGAATAGCATAATTGGTTGATTTGATAAAAAACAAATATCATTTGTTATGCACTCACGTACTACACTTAAAAGACGAAATAAAAGCCAACAGACTTAATTTTTTTCACCTTAAATATGGGTCGCAAAAACTGTAGGAAGGAATTCCGAGGATTTGACGGTGTATGGTAGTTAAATACAGCTACACGTAATTCAGTAGATATTCATGAAAGCAAGAGGCTTGAGAGGAAGTTTGTATTTTAAACCGTAGTTACTATAGCAGGTTTATCCGCGTTATTGACCGTGCTGTGTCGATATAACTGAAGTATAAGTGCTTTACTTGATTAGGCATTGCTTGGGAAAATATATTTGGTCACAGCAGTCAACTGTCAATGTTTTTGAAAGCATTTTACAATGTAATTAAGATTATTTGCATGCAAAATTTTGCTATTAATTTTAAGCTTTTTTAAAAGCACTACGATCAAGGTCGAGTGCTTAATGTTGACCCAGGTGGTTCACTTTAAATTTTCCTACTACTCTGGGCGGATCTCGGTGTTTTTCGGTTTTACAATATTTTCTTACTCTGTAGATGCTGAAGAAAAAGCATTAATTCATTTATTAGCACAAAGTAACTTAGACTGTACTGCACAAAAGCATTATATATACGCGATAGTAACCTGGGCGCTACAAAGCAAAGAGGTTGTTTTTATTCATCTTACAGTAGTACTCGGTTTTGCATTATTTGTGGCAAATTATTTAATTTGTCCTGTTAAATGCATAGTTGCATTAATCAAGTGAAACAAAGCGATGGATCCCAAAGTACTCAATTCTCGGACGCGACAAAACTGGCCCATCCCTTCAGAGATGAGAAAGATTCATCTACAGTCCCTGCTTGATTTTGTAACAGAGAAAGAGGAAAAAATTATGGAGGCATTGGAAACAGACCTTGGAAAAGTACACATGGTCCCTTAAATCTCTCACACGTGCCTTAGCCTCCTTTCGAGATTCTGGCGTCAGAAATTTTATGTGTCAAGTATGAAATTAAACAACTGCTGAAGAATCTTAAATCATGGACAAGGCCCCGACCGGTATTTAACGCCTGCTGATAACTTCATATAGTCTCTTTAGATGCCGAAATACAGAATATTCCACAGAGATAAATGCACAGAAGAGTTACTGGCCTTTGGAACCGTTCTAATTATTTCGTCTTGGAGTTCTCCCTTCCAAAACATTATGATTCCACTGGCGGGAGCCATTGCGGCCGGCAACTGTGTCATAATTAAACCAGCTGAGCTGGCTACGGCTACTAACCAGCTTTTTGTTGAACAAATACCAAAGTATTTTGGTCGCGTAAGATGTTTCCTTTTGTTGATGAATTTTCTGAGAAAGCACGAGGTGGAAAGTAACAGTAATTATGCAATCTATGTCAAGTCCTATAAAGTTTAATAATGATTCCCTCAGTATTGATGCGGAAAGGTTTGCCTTTTTAAAAGGATACTTACTTTCTTAAACCATCACATAGGGGCTAGTAATTCAAGACCCACTAAAAAATTATCAATTTGTAAGGCTTTAGCGCCCAAATCATCCGGTATTTTGTGCATAATATTAATATCTGATTCAAGTTAAAATATAAAATTCTATGTAGTCATTTAAAGATCCCCTTTTTTGGAATCACTTCCCAGAGCGTCTGCCAAGTTCTGACTGGCACATTAGAGGAGACAAAAGACTTCCTCAGAGAGTATAGCTGCGACTTTATTTACTTTACTGGAGCTTCCAATGACGGAATATATATAGCGCGAGAAGCGGCCAAAACTCTCACGCCAGTCTTTCTTAATTTGTATGGAAAGTGGTGAGCGTACCTTCCTATTTGCTTTCCAACTTTTTTACAAAATTATGTGCTTGTTAGCTTACTGTTAAAATTAACGAATTTAAGAACTCTTTTACCAACTTTAGTCCGGTTTATGTTGATTCATCAGCGGACATCACTTTGGCTGCCATGCGAGTTATGTGGGGAAAAATTTTCAACTGTGGGCAAATGTCTGTCGCTCCAGACTACGTGCTTTGTCACGCCGATGTGCAAGTGAGTATGGTCAACTGATCAGTAGTTAATGCAAATTTGGAAACGCAAAGACTCAATCGCTTGTACCCACCTAGACGGTTTATTTGGAATTTCAAACAGGTATTTGCAATTTAAGTGCAATATATGATTTTACAGCCGAAATTCCTCAAAGAATGTCGAAATGCACTGGAGTTCTTTTTTGGCGGCCTCCCAAAAATCGACACGAAAAACTATGGTCGGATTATCAGCATGGAGCACACCGAGTAATTATTTATAAGTTCTAGACATTTTTATATATCTATTTTTGTTTCTGTAAAGTCATATGCCATCACTTTCACTTGGACAGTTCAAAAATATTTAACCAAATCTTTGACAAACCTTGTTCGTAATCACCCACTAACGGTATATACCCTCGAAAATACGCCTTTTTTCGTTGACTTAGACGCCTGAAGGAAATGATATTCAAAACAGAAGGAAAACTGGTTCTTGGGGGATATGTACATGTTCCTGCCAAGTTTGTTCAACCAACGGTGTTCTGTGATGTTCCTGAATACGACATCTTGATGCAGTTCGAGGTAGGTAGCTGACAGGAGAGCAAAATTTCCACACCAGACCGATTCAGTCAAAACCCGTTTCTGATTGGTCGTTTGTTGACCTGATTAATGGTAGTTTTCCCAAAAAGATTCAAAAAAGTGAAACAAAATGTTTTGAAGGCTTTCCAGAAATATTTTTCCTCCTAAAACCTTGAGTTTCTTCACTAGGCTGACGTGACTATTTTCTCTCGTAGATTTTCGGTCCAATTCTACCCGTTATTACGGTCAACTCATCCGAAGAAGCCCTGGAATATGTCAGTAATCAGTACGTCTCTTCTCTTCTTGCTTTAAACCAGGTTAGAATCCTCGACCTTTACGGCCTAGGAACTCAAACACATATTATTGCTTTTTTTAAATTTAGAAAAAAGCCACAAGCTGTGTACGTCTTTAGCTCCAAAAAGGGCGTTTTTCGAACGTGGAAGAAGCATACAGAATCTGATGGCATCATACAGAACGATGTTGTCATGCTGAAAGGCAGTAAGTGATTGCCTGAATCCGCTATGAACCCGGCTATGACGCATATCGTGAAGCTTCAAATACTCTTTCGAGAGGGTCTTTTGACATCACAGTGTTGTCAGATATTTAATAATAAAAGTCAACGCACACGTGGTCTCTTGTAATGAGCAATTAAGGCTGACAGTGGAGTGAATAGGGCACTTTGGCAGGAAAACTAAACGCACTGAATTGTGGAGATAATTAATTGCCTGCGATATTTGCTGCATAAATAGAGCAATTTCAGTTGTGTTTTTCGATAGCTAAAACGACATTTGGTGGGGTCGAGGCCTCAGGACTGGGGCGATATCGAGGAAAATCTTCGATAGAACTCTTTTCTCATCGGCGTGGAGTGATCCTAAGGTCCATGAAAGACGATACTGACTGCAAGTGAGTGAAAATGTAGAAAATTTAACGGGTTGAAGGAGCCTACGGACTCCTGTTCCTTTGCGAACTACGCCTGTAAGAAGATTAAATTATGACGCAGAGTCATTTATCAACATGTTCCTCCATGTTTGGAATAAATTGGCATTTTCTCCGCCCCACATATTATAGCTGTCAAGAGGTGATAGACTAATCCTTGAATACCCCTTGTTTTTGCCACTGTAATTGTAAATTACGGTGCTCTCACCCACTGGATGAGCTTGACACACCTTTGTGAATTTATCCTCAGCAATTGTGATAGTTAATTAACTAGAGCACAGATTGATTAAAATTTTATTTGCTTCAGGAGTTTGACTCCTAACTTTTTCTATTTTTAGAATGAGGTATCCACCATCCCACAGCGCGAACCCGATACAGCCTTAAGGAATGGAGACCACCGAAGCGAAATAATTTCCCGATTTATATGCATAGTGACTCATGAAGTAGATATTCAACCCCCCGATTCGCGTTTCTCTTGTTAAATCTACCCAAATTTCACTCTGACACGAACGAAAATGACCCGTATATCGGCTAAATCCCACTGCTGTAGGGAGCAAACATCCTAATATTTTGGAAGGCGCCGCCTTCTGCAGCAATGCGGATCCAGCGCTCCAAGCCATTTAAACCTACTTATTCTAATAAGTAGCAAGTATTCCAAAAGCAAGACCGGACAGCCAAAAACCCCCTTCATTTTCCCTCGTATTTAGTGAGGACGTCCGGATCTGCTTGTAGACAGTAATACGAACAGTGGTGCCTCATGCTGTACTGAACGCCGAATATACCTACTACCACTTCTAATAACAGTGTATTCTGAATTGGGATGGCAGACCTCTATTCCAACGCCTTTGTCTTCGCAGATCTTCTGGTCGGGATCGAAGCCAATTACCACCAAGCATTAAACCCCCTCAGCCAAAATGACACATGCAAGTCACAGTAGAAGCGCAAAGTAGTGAGGCACCTGGGTGGCGTGAACACTTGAAAACGGCTTTCCCTCTGTTGGTGACGATCGAGACCACGACTGTTTCCGACCCGTGACAAGCGTCCCTGTGAGGATGCAGTAGACGAAGCACCTGATCGACACAAAACCTATCACAATGCCAGTAAAATCTCTACAACGTGACAAGCTTCAGAGTTTGCTGACAATGCCTGCTGCGATTGGTCCTAATGACTACGATTTTTGGTAATTATTAAGACCAGACTACATGCTATTAAAATTTCCAAAAATGCGTAATGATCCACAACCAGCTGTCGGAGGTAGTTCACCCAGCCAGTTATCATAAGGAGGTGAAGAATACATAGCATGACAGTGACACTGCGGCAGGACGAGGAAAGAGGAGTCGCCATGCATGACGACGGTGTCGAAAGCTAGGCACAGTTTCATTGAGCAACGTAAAAAAACCTTACAGCCTAAATTGGGACTCAGAAGTAGCATTTCGAATCCCCAACGTTTAATTAAGAAAGTATATCCACATCCTCCGGGAAAACGAAAAAATACGAATCACATCGTTCCCGGGTGTTGCGCTTGAGCTTATGAACTGGAAAAAGTAACAAAATGACATCCCGCAGACGTTAAATCATTTTCAGTGGGAACAGGAGGTGTGGGTCAACCCAGAATCCAAGCGATGAGTCTTCAAACCGATAGTTCTGGCACATCCTCGCTGTTAGTTTTGGGGTTAAATATTAGAAGCTCTATTAACTTCGCCTTAGCAAGATTCGAATTCTCGGCGAATAGATCGATGATTAGATGCCAATTAATGTGCTTCGAAGAAGTCTGGCGTACCAATCAGATGACAAACGAAGAAAACCTAAGCAACTACAAATCCAAGCAGAGAGCCTGTAATGCGCAAAGAGCCCATCAAGAGAACTAGGCACTAATCAAAACACCCAATTGTGTAGATTACTAGGCGACACAGTGATTAATTGCGGAAAAACTCGCTCGATAGAGAATGGACTTTATTAAACAGAGGCATAGTTCATGCAAAGCAATTTTTAAATCTCCACTTACTGCGAAAGCCTAATTGGGAGTAAACGCACACAAAAAGCCACGTTTTATCAAAATCCTTTATTAAATATATGTCTGTACAGGTGACTAATGGTAATCGCAAAAGTCCCTATGCACAGCAAATTAAAAAAATAAAGCTTACTTCGGTAGCATCTTCGCCTTGATAGCAAGCCTATTAAGTGAGTCGTCGCACTCACCCTATAACAAGCTTAGATAAAAAGTCCATCATACCATAGAGCGAATTTGACCAGAGATGTTAAAAGTCCTACATTCCCCATTCATGCGGCCGGTAACAGCGTCAACTTCGGCGAGTCGCAAGGAAATCGATGCGTGATCCTTGGCGCCAATCAACTGATTGCTGACATCACAGCGCCTAGGAATGTACATATCAACAAATTCGCCAGCCTCGTTCTGCATTGCAAAGGACGCACGATAGACAACACGATTCAAGAAGTGGGCATCGGACTTCCAGTTGACTAGAACACGAAATTCAGAGTAGAAGTGCAGACATAGAGAAAAGATTGCAGACCATTAACTAGCCTGAATTTTCTAATTATATTCACAAAAATTATTTTGCAACTGATTCAAAATGTTTTTAGCCCTTGTAAGTCGTGGTAAGGTGTTCCTGAGTACTACAGGTATGCAGATTTTAAAGATAGATAAATCGTTCCCACAAAATATCTCTATAAGGGTTGTTTAGCAACACTTTTTTCTACAAGTTTACAATATTTGCTGCATTTGAGTTTCCTTACTACGGCTCATTTATTAACTTTAGTGCTTGCTAGAAAACGCAGATATAAAAGGGTACTCATTCAAAGTTATAAGCTTTGCCATAAAATAGGCAGAGGCATAGTTTTTCAGACAAAATATACGTAGGCACTCCATTTTTAAGAGAACTGGGTTTATCGACATGGCCCAAATGCCAGCCTATTCGGCAAGGCGACTGTAGTGCCTCAAAGCTACTCTGAAGAAAAAAGGTATATTACTTAGGCAAAATACATGTTTCACATGCAGAAGGCACTTGGACTATTGGCATGGCCCAAAAACCATCCCGCCTGACCAAGTGGCTCTTCAACAAAAGAAGAAGTTAAACGAACATCAAATTTTAATCTATTTTAAAGTTTGCATCATATTTAAGAGCTGCAGTGTTGTCATAATGCACAGTTTTGCAGTTATTGTGCTTCAAACAAACTACTAAAGTGCCATTATATGCATCGCTCAACGAAATGCTGTCAAAGGTGTCAGAAACTTTTTTTTTTTACTCTGAAATAATTACGGACCAATGTTATGCCTAGTGAAAGTAGATAAAATCATCAATCCTTTCTAAAGGGATGCATAAAAAATCTGGCTTTTTATGGCAAAAAAGATAATTTAGCTCAAATTAAGCATAGTTTTGGACCTATTGCTAGGAATACTAATTTGCTTTTTACTCAACATGATTCCTAGTATTGGAAGGCTTAATGACATGCTTAGATTCTTCGCAAGCCGGATACAAACATAATTTTGACCCGGGTCCTAAGTTGAGGGGTTTTCGCACTTTTGCGTTATTTCTCATTAATTTTGCTGCAATTTCTTATAACAGAAATTTCTGACCTTAAAATAGAAGTGATAAAAGGGTCATCCAAAACGCGCACTCTCCAAGTGCTTTTGAGCCTTCACTTTCGTTCTAGTGCGGTTGGTTTTCCTTATTTCAAAATAAACAACAACTCAATTTGTGTTTTTATGCTGATGTAACTGGAGTGCCTTTAATGACTAATAGCCTTCTTAAGGTTTCCCTTTACGATATCTGTTACGCCTTGTTTACGAAACACTGCGCTTTGCTTATCAGTTAATACTTGATAATTTTCGCGCGTCGCAACTTTTGTCGGTAATGAATCAAGGGTTTTTCCCCTTTTTCATTCTTAGACCTTTTATAGGGTCTTTGTGACTCTTACTCGTCCTATAATTCCAATTTCTGTCTCCTCTCAAGAGAAGGTTCTAAAGGTTTCATTAATTTGTGGTTGTAGATGAGTGAAGAATCGCAGCTGGAAAGATCTGCTCCTAGTGAGCTCATTGTTTTTAAAGCCAAATATCGCGCTGCTATCAAGAGCTTCCAAATTTCCAAAGTATGCTTTGAGTTCTTTCCATTTCTTCACCTCATAGAACACCCCCATGGATGATGTTATGAAACGCATCCTTGAATCGTAAGTTTGGTACACTTACTCAGTGACTTTTTGGTTTTTAAATGTAGTTTTCAGGAATCCGCGACGGAGTCAAAGAAATTTCGATTGGGTATGTTTTCTGGTGATTCATTGATCGGTTACATCTCTAGCTCAGTAAGTAGCCGTTTCTTGCTTTCCGATAGTTCTCGCCTTTAGAAACGTTTTCTCCTCAAGAATGATCTGGTGGAGCTTGTGCTGGCGCCGGAGTTCTCTTCTAAGGAGTTGACTGCGTTACTGGCCTGCATCTGTGAGTGCCTTCACAACTCAGAACGTCTAGACGAGGTTGAAAATCTCTCGGAACGCGTTGAGGAATTGTTGCATTCCATGTCCTGTGGCGAGTTTATCGACCACTTTTTCATAAATGGTGGTGTAAACGTCCTTTTTGACGCTGTCACTGCTACCAGGCGAGTTGTATTTGAGTTCCTATTGGCCATATTTCTACCGTGAACTCTTCTGCGGTTGGCATTGTCAAATTCCGTCTTTCTAAGGCACCTAAATAATTGAGGCATGTGGAATCCAATTGTGACTACTTGTAGGTGCTTCTCCATCACAAGATGATCTGGTTTTTTGGATTTTATTGCTCAATTATGGAGAAGGGTCTTGTCAAGAAATGCATTTTGGGTGATTCACTGCCATTGAAAAGTTATTGTCGAGTGCCGTAATCGGTAGATTTAACTGACCTGGGTCATTTGATTTCTGCTCATGTGTTTTTTCCCCATTTCCAGCCAGTGCGCAGACATGAAGGCTGGTCTGCGTGTTCAGTTGTGGCGTCAGGTACTCAGCGGATTAGCTGCTTTGATCAACTACGATGCCCTCATTCTCGAAACGGGTCGTGGTGTTGATATTATCGACTGTCCCTTCACAGGAAAAGGATTTGAGTGGACTCAGGTGCCCAATGAAATCATCAACCAGGTAGAATCGAATTATTCTCCGAAGCAGGAGTTTGGTGGGATTATCTGAAAGTAGGCTTTATAAGCTCCTCTACTAGTTCAAACTTACTTATTATGCTTTAACAGTTTCGTTATCAACGTCACATATATGCAATATTATGGTTTTCCCACTTGAGATCACTTACCGCACACGTGTAAAACCCTTGAAAAAAGAGGATGGACTAGATTGAAGACGATGAAATCTCTTTCCTCTACGAATCTAACAGCGAATGAGTTGATAACTTTTCCTACAAATCGCCAGTATATACAAATGTCAAAATACATTGATGAAGTTTAAACTCCACCATCTAATCAAATGTTACTCTCCTTCTGGGATCCTTTGTGCTCCATTTGTTTCAATCAAAAGAGCTATTATCTCATTTCACTAGTAACTAAGTGTGTTAATTCGCATTCCCCTCACATGAGTGGCAAGTCATGTTTGACAGGACCTCATAATGTCACTTTTTTCGGAGGTATTTTTTACTTTTCTTTAACCTCTATTTATAAAGGTGATTATCATTTGGTTCTCCAAGTATTTTTCAGTTTACGAATATTTTCGGTGTTTACACTTAATGCTTTACTAAATATTCCCCTTGCTGAACATCCAAGACATGGACATGGAGCATATTTAATAGTTCAGACTAAAAGTCGCCTTTTTCTCCTGAAGCATATATACTTTTGTTTTCCCAGCAGTAAAAGTAGCAGCAAATTCTTACCTGAACCGGTTCTTGTTGATTCATGTCCGTGTTTTGGCATTTGTTTGTTTTTTTTTTTCTCCTCTTTCTTTTTCCAAAGTCCACTTTGTCACCAATTTTACCTGGATTGATTGATGTGAATGGACAAACAAATATGCTGAGTCGTCGCTAAAAGTGGGTCGAAGTAGGCTAATGCTTAACATGTATGGAGGGGTTGTGTCAAATTTGAAAGCTCAGACTTTTCAATTGTTACTTCTTTGTTAGAATGCAATTAGAAGAGTTGTCATATTAAAGGCAAGTAAGATCTGTTGGTCTATTTGATTTCTTTCCAAAATGGTCATTTTCTTGTAATCTTACTTGTCACATATGTGTGACGCCAATGGCGGACGTATTTGTAAGATCATGTTTGGTTGAAATCTGAATACAACTTTCTTTGTTTGTAGCTAGATGATGGTTTGATTAAAATTAGGGTAATTTTTTTGAGAGCTAAACGAAATAAAAGAAGCATTCTTCTGATTTAACGCAAGGTAGGATGACGGACTACTGACGAAGTCTCTAGTTCCACCTTCTGGCTATTGGTTACCACAGATTTGGCTAAATATACAATTTGGATGAGAAATTGTTTAAAAGTGCAATAAATCTGTTTTTATTGTGGCTAAGTCAAGACATCTCTGAGGCAGTACGAAATAAACCATTATCATTTTGGATGAATGCTGACAGCGTTAAGGGTAGGGTAATTTCCAAATAGTTGTCAGACTAGCGGTTGACGCAAAACGGAACGGAATAGTCCAAAAAAACACGTTTGAAATTATGGTCGGTCTGTGTAAACAGAGACTGCTGATTGGTTGATCGGTTTTGCACCAACATCTGACCACCAGTACATAAAAGCGCACGATTGTAACATTGGTAACAATAAGGTAACATTGGAGCCTGGGTGTTCCGGAAAAATATAACATGGGCGAAAATGCAAACGCCCAAACCCTAGGATTGCGATCGTGTTTTATGGATAGATTGGAGAGGGGGAACACGGGGCAGGATGTACCTGGGGTCCCACACCAGATACCCTAATTTTTCCAGTTTATTATTAAAAGGAAAAATATCCTTTACTTCCAATCATCAGGTCAGTAAGTACAATGTGCTCGAGTTAAAATCGTAAGCTGATCAACGTTGACTTTAACTAGAAATGACGATGTGGTACCTTGCGGCTTCAAGCATCTTGGTGGGTCTCCTTGGATTTGATAAGATTTGTGGCGTCTTGAATGTGCAGTAATTGTGGTGAGCAAATCTGCGAAGTTAACAAAAAACTTGGAATTTTTTCAGCTAGTGGCACTAGCTTAATTTGATGTTTATGGACATAAAGTGAAGGCGATTGTTTATTTAGCTGTGTTTTAGGCCAAAAATGTGCGTCAATCTATCGGTACGGTGCTCCTTACTTGTGCTCTCCATTAACTTTTCTCTCGTTTTAAACCCTCACTTGATGCAGTTTCGGTTACACCGGCTGAATGTGGTTCTAGTCTGTTTGCTTTACGAAACCAAAAAGCATTGGATGAAGAAATTTCTGGTCTTCGAGTGCATTGTGTGGTAATTGGGGAAAGTTTGGTGGGAGAAGGTGGCACCTAGATTGGATTTGGGTGTTTGATTCTGGTGGTGCATGGCGTTGAGGAAGTGCTTGAATTCTTCATGCGAACGAAGAGACGGCGGTGTCTACTGATTTGAAAAAGTGGGTAATAAGAAGTGTAGCGTAATTTGTTACAGATACGCAACGTGGAATGTGATGCAAAACCTATTTCGCTCTTACACCGTACAGGAAGGTGGTAGTGGGAAGTCTTAGTGTGTGCGTGGGTGGGCGATCGTGTGCACGTTGCAGGCACTAATAGGCATTGCTTCTTGGCTGATAGCTTGTTGACTCTCTGGTAAGGCGAAGTGTCAGTTGGACTGGAGGATGTGATATGTGGACGAGCGCGCTGTTGGTGATATGGAAACGATTCAGTGCTCACATTTCAGCAGATGAAAAGTCTGTGTGCTTTGTGTGTGTTTACGATGGAGTGCAGACATCGTTATTCACTTACCGAGGGCGAGGTAATTAGTCCTGGAGTCTATCTTTCCGATACATCTGGGGCAAGCATAGGATTTCTTCCTCATGTGAAACAGTCGGGACATCGGTGGAAAAGGCGGCTCCTTCTTACAAGAAGATGAAAGGGAGACAGTGAGGCGATGAAAGGCCTCTTACCCTCGCGAAGCGTACAGGAGATTTGGACAGGATAGGACGGTGGGAGGGAGGATGCTGCCTTATCGTCACCCTTTATCTCCTATTTCCTCTGTTGATGGTTACCACCCCGCCTTAGCATTAGCCAGCCACGTGATTACACGCGAAATGGGAAAGTGAGATGAAAATAAAAGTGGCCATAACTATGTTATACTGTTCTAGAGACCAATCTACACCTTTAATAGGAGAATTATGCATAGTAAACTGTTTAGAAATGACCAGCGACGCCTTCTTCCGCTTGGCATATGTTGAAATACAAAACCATTTCTCCTTGCGAATCGTTCGACAAACAATTGTTTGAAAAGCGGCCGTTTATTTTAATAAGGTTTAAGAAGCGATATCCATTTCCTTTGTATCTCTCATCACGCCTTCCTCTGCAAGTGTGGGTGTGAACGATTTGCTTCGTCACCACCCACATTGGTTATTACTAACGGCTCATTCTTATCTTTTAATCTGCTTATTCCAGATAACAGGGCTTCATAATTCTTTTTTTTCAAGAATATGCACTCTTCCTGTACACCATGCATCACAGGAACCACACACCCTAACCCACTTTGGGTGTCACATTCTCCCACCACGCCTTTTCCCAATGCTACGCAAAACACTTGAAAACCAGAAGTCTTTCCACCCACCGCTTTCACATTGTGGTAGCAAACTGCCTTCGTAAATCAGACAGGCTGGAATTACGTCCATCCGATTCAATCAACATCTCATCATAGGAGGGGAGTTTGGGGAGAACTTAAGCAAGGTGCACCGTGCCAATAAATTGACGCACATTTATGCCTCAAAATTTGGTTTCATGAGTGCTCGCCTCTACCCTTTGAATACTTCTGTTATAAAGTGTCATTGTGGTGAGCTGTCCCAAGAAGAACCCTTTATCAACCTCATGATAAGTAAGCCGTGGAAGATTGTGACATCTGATATGGGCGTATCGTCAAATACGGAGGCGTCATCCTTCCCCAACAATCCATTCCCACTTATTTTCCCTTTTTTGTGGTTGTGCTTTTACCTCGGCTATTTCATGTTCTGTTGTAGTATGAGCCCAGAAAAAGAAACTTTTTTGACAACACAAATTTAACCCGTCTGCTTTAGTCTTATAAACACGAAACAAGTTACCCACTTTTTTTGGTTTGTGAAACGAAGGTCTTGTGGCGAGACACACACGCTTTTGTCTTTTTTTTCCTCTGCAAAACTCCAAGTCGAGTTTGCATTTTGCCGCCATTCAAATGCAAGATTTGGCTTCTTTTATTGCTTCATTCCTGACGTCTTGGCTCTGGATTTCATTTGATGACTCAGCAGTTCCACTGTCCATTAGTTGGGCATTTGTGTTCATTTTGAGTGACATTTCTTTGCTGGGCCTAATGTCTCCTCGAAACAATTAAGTAGATGGCGCATTTCAGTTGATTCACTGTCGCACAGTTCCGGCCATCTGACTAGCGGTGGAATATGGTGTCGCAAGGCGTATTAATGCAGAAGAATGGCTTATTATTGCCACACAGGGGTCAGGAGACCGTGAATGTGGCTAAAAGGCCATGCTGCCATGGTGTTGATAACAACCCATGAATATGACGTAGTCGGCTTAGTTCCGTGGACATTTACTCTTCTGCCCCGGCCATAATGAGGTTTCTTGTTAATTGTAACCAACCGCGGGATAGGAACTAGTATGTTACAATGAATTTGCGTCACGAAGAGTAGTTTACTTATTACTAGTACTGTGTGCAAGAAAATTCGCTGTTTCAGGGCGTCAAGTAGTCTTCATACCGAAATAAATTCGAGAGCCTTGATTTGTTTGACTGCACCAGAGGCTGGAATGTACTGTGCAGCTAGGTTAATCTGTACGCCATGGTTCAGGAATACAGTGTTTATTTCTCTGAAGTTACTCACAATTCTTTAAACTTTGATCTTATTCCGCCAAAAATTGAAATTTGTCTAAATTAGGCTCTTTTCCGGCAGATCTTTTGTCCTGAGTCCTCGCAAATTCGGCCACATTGCAGTGGATAACCTCCTTTCGTGATGTTTATATCTGGCAATCAGTATTGTCCTTCGTTTGCAAAGGGTTCGCTTGCTACTGCTGCTGCAAAATTCGCATCTCTACTTATCTCCAAAACTGTAGTAATGAGTAAACGTTAAATACGATTAAGTAAACATACAAATCCGAAGTGGCTCTCTTAAAAGTGACCGGAAGTGGTTGACGAATCAGTAGCCAAGGAAATCGGCCACTAGCATCTGCGAATGTTCATCCTTGACCTATTTTGTTTACCCTCTTTCAGTTTATTTATTTGCAAGGGCTTTGTCTAAAATATCTGTGGGAATCCGAGTGTATTAATTGTTTATAATAAGTAGTAGAGTCTACCACGATTTGAATAAGTTTGATATGGCAGTTGCCTTCGCAGTTTCGCCTAGAGGTTATCATGCTGTGCCAAAAAAAACTTCTGCGGAACCTTTGCAAAATTGCCGAGTGTTGTGAACAGGAGGTGAGTGTTTTGGAGGCAAATGAATACTTTCCCCCTTAAGTGTGCTCGTTGTGGAGGATAGGGTCTCTCCTTGTCGAGCCATCTATGCGTAGGTGAACGACCATGCTGACTTGTTGAATGCAAAGCTCTCCAAACGTTCAGCTATGGGTGCGATGATGAGGAAAGAAAGAGGGCTGCAGGAACAGATTCACAAACAAAGCGATTTGTAGGTGTAGGTGTCAGCTTAACCCTTACCCTGATTCGCTACTCCCCAAACACGCATGGAAAATTCGTGAAAGATCACCCAATCTGTGAGTTCCATTTCGGTGTTCGAGTTTCTCCTAAAGTCATCTATGTCAAGTAAATGGTCGTTGAACAATGGAGAAGGCATGCCGCCCTGCAGGTTTTACGCGCAGCAGTGGGTGGTAAGTGTGCCCTTTTTTCAACAGCCAACGCACACATCGTGAACTGACCAAGTTCAACTAAGAGCATGCAAAATTGACAATGTGCTCATGGACCAGCGTGGGGACGAAGTTTTTCGTGAATGAAGACATTCACGGAAGACATGAAGGCCGGTGTGCACTGAGAGAACGCCCAGTCGCAATGTGACACTTGAACAATGTAGCCGTTTCAAGGTCCGTCCGATGGTAACGATACCGGCCATGTTTGCGCCTAGCCCGGATTCTCGATGGCCACGCTTGTGAACTTCCAGACAGCGCGTACAACGCCTGATTCAGGACACCTGATGGATTTGGGACCTGCTGTAAAGTGGAAGAAGCTTTGAATCTTTGCCAACATTACTGCTTTTGAAATGTTGACTGGGATGGGTTAATGTTGGGGCTGTGCTTTCCATTTCTAGCTGTCATTAAACCCAATAGTCTCCATTTGACTAAAACACTTGATCTACTTAGAAAGTCCAATGATTCGGACTTCGTATCGTTAAACCATTTCTTAAAGATCCTGCGTGCTTGAAAATATCCAGCTATTACTGGAGAGCTTTGTTTTGACAAAAAGTGTACATTTTCTTTCAGATTATAAACTGTCATCCATTCTTGGAAGACCCCACATCCTACCGCAACTGTCTCCTCGTTCTCCTTAGTTTCCTGAAGACCTGGTAAGTGCCGTCTTTTCCTCCTCATCTCCATCTTCCTATAGTCCTGATCGTGTTCAAGTGCTACTGGATAATTCAATTGCCTCTTTCCTCTACAATGCCTTGGATTCATCTCAATCTCGTCGCCGTCTCCCACCGCTGCCACAGTCCCAGCCCAGGCTCAGTCGCTCGAATAGTAGACATGGTGATCTGGCCATTCGACCGAAAGCTCTTTCACCATCACCTTCAGTTAACGCAAATCTGACAGCCGCGGGAGTAACATCAAGCTATGCATCGACAGGCGCTGGAAGTGAACAGGGGAAAAAAAGGAGGAGGATTTCGGAGTTACAAATTTTAGTGGTGTGTCTGGTCCACGCAGTCTACGAGGCAACGGCAGACTCTCTGACGGAGACCCTGAGCGTCTTGCCACCTTATTGCATCTCCTCTGTCGTTGCAGTAGGTGAATGTAGTTTTTAACAACTCAGCCTTTGTCAATCACTTTCAGTTAACCTTCTTAATTGTTTTGACGAACCCTTCCATAATATTACAAGGAAGAGAATCATCTTCCCTTGCTTTTATCTAGCCACGTTGACCTAACTTGATATTAAAGGGTATAAAGTGAAGGCGATTGTTTACGCAGTTAAGTTTTAGGACAAAAATGTGCGTCAATATATCAGTACGGTGCTCCTTCATCAACTTCCCTCGCATTTTTAACCCTCACATGATGCGTTGTTGATTAAACCGGCTGGATGTGCTTCTAGCTTGTCTGCTTTATGAAGCAAGTTTGCAACCTGGATGCAAAAGCAGTTGGTAGATAAGCTTCTATTATTTAAACATGTCGTATAGCATATGGGGAAGGCGTGGTGGGGAGAATGCGCTACTTAGAATGGGCGCGGGTCTTTGGTTCTTGTGATGCATGGTGTTCAGGAAGAGCTTGCATTCGTAATGCGAGAGAAGAAATAGGTGCACCTGCCAATTAAATCAAGTGATAAAGAGGAGGTACAAAATTGTCTTTCAGTCATGTGCAACAACTAGTTCACCCTTGCACCGCCAGCATTATCCAAAGTCGTGTTGCAAATGTTACTTTTGTTCGAAGATGATGACGTCTCTTTACCTTTAACTAGCACCGCTTTAGGCCGAACGCATACTGCGTGGTCTCTTGTGGTCCAATTTCCTTTGAGACTGAGATAGTTGATGCATAATGCCACATGAGATCCTAATTTCACCGACACACCTCATCCACTTTAGTGGGTTCGCAGTTTCAGCCTCCTTGTGAACTGCTTCGTGAGAGCTTATGAGCTTTGGAGTGCTCAAGGCCTAATGATAGTCTACGCCGAGCGCCCTTCATACACCAATTGCTATGTGTACGGATCTTTGTTTGAAGGAGCAGTCTAACATTGAGAAATATGCAACGAAGCAGTTTCACAGGGCTAATATTCAGTGCTTGCAGCTCTTTACTACCTTGTTTTTACCCTTTTTTCATCTAGCTGTCTATCTGGATTCCATTTGGCCAATGAGAATGTGAGAGGGGTATCATATCTTCATTAACATTAAAAACCCAACACGCTTTTTAAAAAATGTTTCCAGATTCTTTAAGCCTATTGTCGTCCCCTTGTTTGCTGCCTCCTCACAGAAAATCCGATTGAAATGTCATACAAAAGGGTTCATGGCTTCAATAGCCCTTCCGTCGTGGGCTCACGGAAGGTACTTTAGGTTACAACGGCGAATCCAGCAATCGAAACATCAGATGGAGAGACGACTTTTGCCTTATCTCCTTAAACATTCACTGCAGAAGCTAAGAAATTCATTGGTCACGCATAAAAGGTCGCTAAGCCAACTGCATACGTGACGGAGAGAGGTGACTTCAGACTAGGGTAGTAGACATTTTTCACACTGGAATGTATAACTTAACCATTCTTTGCAACAGATAGTTTGTGATTATTTCGAGAGATTGTAAAGCTGATAGTCCCTTTGCCAGGACCTTATGACAGACGGTGATGCTTTGGAAAAAGCGATTCATCCAATGGTTTTGCCTCAATACAACTACCGTGATGATGTGACGACACCTACAGCTCCCGCCACTAGCGCTGCATTGACGCGTGGCCCAAATATCTTCTCCACCCTGAAACTTCCACGCAGTCTTTTAGTCTCCGGTGCCTTTTCTCGCATCACTCGAATGAATTCAATGCTGAATGACTACCAATCTGGTCAAACCCTTACATCACCGCTTTCAACTCAACCGCCATCACCACCTGGGCAACCGTCGACTTTGCAAGTGGGAACACAGCGACCCTTGGTGGATGCAACGCCAATCAGCGATGAGAAGCCGACTCCTGTATTCACTGACCCCATGGAAACCAACTTACGTGACATGCTGATTAAACTTCAGCCCTTCGTGGTCCAACCCTACTCTCACTTGCAGGAAGCTCCATTAAACGTACGCTACAACACCTACTGATAATGTTTAAGTAGTTGTGGTTTTGTACAATGTGTTAATTTTTTAGGAACGGCAAATGCATCGTGTTTTGCGGGACTTATGTCGTCTCATTCTTCCCGAAATCACCTCTTCGACATCCAGTAGTATCACCGAGGGTAATTCTAAGGTGGAAATCTATCGCATGTGTGGTTTTGCGGTAAATTGCAAATAATTTTACATATTCACTCAGGGTAGAATGGTTTTCATCCACTTTTTTTCCTTCTAGAATCCTTACAAACCGGACGATGATTTCAAATTGCCACCACAAATGCTTGGCGTTGTTTGCCTTTCCTCTCTAGTGAAGCATCGGGGTGGTCTCATTCGAAAAATCCTAGAAAACCAAGGTGCCTTCGAGGAATTTCAAAAGAATCGTCCAGTAGGAGATTCTCAGGAACCCGCACCGGTTCCAACCTCCCTTGCAGCCTGGTTGGGAGCTGATAAGGCTGTGGGGTGTCCAGTGTTTCCTCTACTGCCTGCTGTGCGAGCTGTTTCTTTAGTGTTGTGCGAAAATTTTGCCATCATTGGTAAGCCGCCTTTTGTGTAGTTTTGCATGTTTTAATCGGTTCAATTCTTACTGCTTCGTAGATGAACCCCTTTGCACCTCTCAGTCTTAACTTCAAGAGAGTTGATGAACCTAATGTTTGCCTAAATAAGATCTAACCCATTAGCTATGAGGTTAGCGGAAGCATTTAAACAGTAGTACGTCAAATTTTGGACACTCAAATTTGCTCGGCTTTGTGATCTCTATCTATAAGGCATTGTTCGTACTACATTTCCCTCCTTACTTTTGGCTCTTAAAGCGGGTTTGTAAGAAATTTCACAAAATTTATCTTTTTTAAAGCAAAATTTGTCACTTATGTAAGCCAATCGCTTGTGGACTGATTTACTTAGCCTCTGCGGTTTCGTTCTTCCCATCGTGACTAATTCTGCTTATTAAATAGTGGGTAAGACTACATTGAAGGATTATTTTGCTTTAACTCTCTTTGATTTTTTTTCCCTAAATTCGACACTTTTAATTTGACACAGTCAAGTAATTTATGCAAACTGTACCTTTTTTCATGCGAGTGGTTCAAGTTGATTCGGGACTCTGGATCCCGCACCTATAAAATGACATCTTGCCATGTCATACCGCACGTAGTGGCAAAATGCGCGCGTCCCTTGTCCCCACTCGGAATGATCGGTGCGTATACCTTTGACGTATTCAAAAATCTCTAGTAAAGGTGAATGAGGTGCCTTGTCAACGAAGACTTACCATCAGAGACCGCGAATGTCTACGCATGTAGAGGACTTTAAGTACAGCGTGGTTTGAAGACGGCTGCACGTATGCCTATCGGTGATGGTCCCGACCTTGGAGATTCTGTTGCAAGCCTACAATAAGGTAGTCCTTCCTTTAAACATTCAGTGCGTAGAATGCATGATCCTGGCCCTTCCAGGGACCCATAAGCAGCCATTATGGGGGACTGTTTTGGGTCGTTTAGTCTTCGTTGATAAACTACCCCTGGCTGTAGCTCTGGATGGGCATGCCAGCATGCGAAGGGTCTGTGCTCTCCTTTTTTCCGCAAATCCCACATTCCTAGTTTGACTTGAACATCTGTTGCAACTTAGTTTGTATGAAAAATTTAACACACTTTTAATAAATGTTTACAAAAAACTGCAATTTATTCATACTAGCTGTTTAGAACTTACGAAATCCACTTTCAGCTCTCGATTCAATTCAGCTGGTTATCATAAACTGGCAAAAAACCGTCACACATTGGCGTCGCCTGTACATGACGTGTTTCGATTTTTGTCCATTCCGTCCATTTTCAAGCTTGTAGTTACTAACTTTTGGCCATATTTTGGTAGTTTTTCGACTATGGGTTGCCATATTTACTTTGACCGGGCCATAACGAAGAGAATTTTCTAAAAGACTTTGACATGAAAATAATCCGAGACTGGCCAATGAAAGCCCCAAAAAACAGTGCTAGAAGTGGTGCTTCTTGGTTTAAAATATAGCGTTTTTAATCGAGTCTTCGGTATTGCAGACGTGTTTTTTAATAACTCACTTAATAAAGCTTTAAAAACGGCGTCCTGTGAGGCCCTAATCAAAAGGAACTAGAAGTACACGCGTTAGGGATTGCATAATTATGTAAATGCTTGACCATCCACCCACCCTTCGGTCGTGTAGATTGTGCGGGAGTGAATAGAACCTTGCTGAATTTCGATTCACGACCTGATACTCGCCTCCCTCGCTTTGACATGACATAGCGCCTTATCGCACAGGTAAGTTGTGACAAGCTTCGGTATTTCTGACAAGGGAGGCAGTGTAATTAGTGCCTCGACGGGTCTTCGAGACAATGCGCGGAAATTCGGTACTTGCAAAAGAACTGCACTTAATTTTCGATATAGCCGCCAGATTTTGAAACACCTAATATGCACCAAACTTTTGAGATTGCGGGCATTCATGAATGATTACTTGCACAGTTTTTGTAGAAAAGTTCGTATTTTGTGCATTTTTATGCACTGAAAGATGATCCAGAATTGGGCCTTCCCCTCATTGAATTTTCTAGGAACAACTTATCTGCTGAGAACCGGGCATGAAATTGCTGCGAGTGTCTTTGGTAGCCGTGGTTTCGGGTTGTGAACCCCTTTTAAGAAGGCACGTCGACGCACGCCGCCACACAGTCGCCTACCCTCTGGCCTGGCGATGTCAGATGTCCAATCTGGCCATTGATAATATGGCGCACTTGGCATGCCCTACTGCGTGTCTTATTGTCAGGATAAAATGCCTTTTTACAGATGTGAAAGTAAAAGTTTATCCTCCCTCGTAGCTATATTTGGCATCTTCAAACACCCTTTTCTCCAAATACCGTCTAAATTTGAACTAAATTTTCACGAAATAGTGTTTTTTGTTATTCAACTGATCAAAAATCTTTCCTTTTGGAAAACGCTTGTCGTCTTAATCTAATTTCCCAGGCAATCCCTTTGTGGAGGACGAACAACTAAATCCCCTACTCTTCCAGAGCTCACCCAATGCAGACTCCGTGTTCCTAGAGCTCTTTCTCCACTGTTTTGATACTTTCTACGACTTCTGGTTCGCCTTGAACGCTGAGCCATGTGATTTGGAAACGGTAAATATTTACCAATCGTAATTTCCTCAACTTCAAAAATTCCAAACTTTGGCGGCCAAATTTAACGAATAATTGAGCAGCTAGGGGCGTTTCTCCCTTTTTAAATTCACACTAGTTAACGATGTTTTCTCTTACTTAAAGCGATTTCCGGATCGTATTTGCGAGCGGATGAGTAACTAGGGCTTTTTTTCTGACATAAAATGCAAGGCATTTGTTTTTAAAATTGCAAGCCAAAAAAATCGGCGTAGAAATATCATCCTTTTTGACTTAGCCACCTGTCATATCATTTTGCTTGTTCTCATGAAAGACTTACACGTGTGAGCATGTACGTGCGTAAGTGTGTAATTCCTTTCTAATAATTTGAAATTGTGGCGCTGAGGCAATGGTAGGTCACTCATCCACCCGCTTACCCCATTGGCTGGTTTGGTTTTGCGCGCTCACAAGATGATTACGATGCCACCTGCATCATTCTTCCAAGCTTGGGCTTACAAAACACTCAGTGGCAAGTTTCTTACCATTTAAAACTCCAACAATCATTTGGTTGCCTTTTTAGCCCCATTTTTCGTGTCCAATTGGTTGCTTAAATAACATCAGTAGCGTGTACTTCCCCTAGATTGCACGAGCACTGAGCGTAAGCTTGAAAAACGCAATTTCCAGTTGCCCATATACGTTTGAGGAGTTTGCCAGAGAGTTGTCCAATTTCTCTCTGGATTCCGTTGAACGCGAGTGGCGGATGCGAGAGGAGGAGAAGGAGAAGAACCACCCGGCAGTTCAGTGAGTGTGAAACTCCGACAGCATTGTTTATGAGTTGGGGCCATATTGAGGGAGTATGTCCATTGCTGTCTTTGCAGGGAACTGCACCGGGATTTGGTGAAGCAGCATACTGAGACGGTTACCAAGCAACGGCTATTTACCATGAGCCATGGTCCACCGCTGGTCTACATGAAACATACAAAAAAAGGTTGTTTGCTTCTCTTTTTCCTTAAGCTTCTCTATCAATGCATTTTTACTCTTAGCTTTGGATTTTAAGTATTATACCGGGGAATTAGACGAGGAAATTTGATGCATGATTCAGTAAATCGATTTTGACAACTTGTCGAATTATTTTTTTTCTAATCTCAGGGGTGCAACGTTTGCGTGTTTCTCTATCATCAGATCAAAATCTTCTTCTAGTTCGGGATTCCGACAACCGCATTGTGGAAATATGTACGTTTTTTTTTTGGATGAAATGCTGAGTAAGTACTTACATAAATGATCACAAAGACTTTTTAAATTCACATTTAAGGGCCTCTCTCATCAATTGTCACAATGGCTCCTGGTTCTGGTTTCAGGAAAGGCAAGCATCGTGATTGGGTAATTTGACTGATTTTTTTCTAAAAAATGCATGACCTAGAAGTGAGAAACGCCTCTTTGTATTTAAAGTTTTAAATCCTATTTGTAAATGTAATGTATATTCAGTTAGCGGGCCTCGCGAGATTAAATTTTCCAGGGTGTCACTATGTTTCTTTCCTTGACCAATGGCAAGAGCGGAAGCATTGCCCAATCAAAAACGGGCATTTTGAAGATTAGTATTCTTAAAGATTTACTGTTTTTTTTCCTTCAAGTCTGTTGTCTTGACGATTGACACAGAACAACCAACTGAGCAAGAGATGGATATCATGGTACGTCCCTCTTCGGCGAAACAAAATCGGCTCAATCAAATCATTCTCGGGGCTCCATCGGAGTACATCCAGACCTCGTGGGTTGACGGTTTTAGCTGCCTCCGAAAAGAGAAGGTCAGTTGGTACCCGCTATGTCTTCTTATGTCTTTAAGGAGTGAGGTTGATAGAGCTGCGCTTTTCGTTTGCTTTTAGTTTACCAGTGCTGCATTCGCTGATGATGTGAATTTGATCTCCAACTTGGAACTTCGTATCCGACTGTTTGGGTTGAATTTGGATACAGTTCCAACCAAATCGGTTGAACGGCCGCCATCCTACCCCGATCTTGAAGGTCTTATGTACTGATTTTTGTTTAATTTAACCTCCCCTTACTTTTTAATCGATCAGTACATTATTCTGAACCCTGTTGAGTACCCGGTCTCACTTTCTTGGTCTTCCGATTTCTTTGATGTTTGACAAGTGAATAGATTACTTTCTTTGAGTTGTGTTATTTATTTTGTTTCTCAAAGTTAAGGTTGCAAAATTGCCGTAGTTGTCACAAGAATAACCATTGAAAAATTCAAGCGTCACAGGGCTCCTGTGCACAACTCCTACACTTCTTTACTATCCGCAGAAACGTGTTTAAGCCAAAGCCTTCGTGGGATTCAGGAATAGGTGGTGTTAGCGACATGGCTGGAGAGAGTTGTATTTACAGCCCAGTACGGCAAAGAAATACTGGCACTACAAGGTAACGATCAGGTGGTACGTTTAGCTGTGGGCCTAATCACTCATCTAGTTCGGCCTCTGTAGGTTGCACTTTTGCCCTGCAATAGGGCTTTCGGGCCATGCTAGCTGCCTCAACTTCTTTTACTTTAGTGGGTAGTATTGTAGAGACTCCGAGAAGACGAAAGAAGACGCAATACTCGGGCAGAATATATATTCAGCACAGCGAAGGTGTTTGGGCTATTGGCATGGCCCAAAGGCCAGCCCACCCAGCGAGAAGCAAGAAGGCTAATTCAAAGTACAAAAGTGGAGCCTCACCAATACCGAGGGATAAGCCACTATCGTATTACAGTATGGTCTTCCGTAATACTTCGGCTAATTGCGACTTCAGCAAAGGCCCGGGATGCTGCAAAAACCAAATTTGGCATCAAACAAATCAAAAACATAGACCAAGAAAAGAGGTGATTTGGGTTACTGGTTAAATGTTAAATAGAAGATAATTTCGCTTCATTGCGCGTGCAAAGAACACGGTAACAAATGAGGCAAGCATAAAAGCTGTATGCAAAACTGATAACATTGCCTTTTGTTTTGCTTGCGCAAAAGAAGCAAACTCTTAGAAGTTGGTTTTTTGGGTACTGCAACGCTTTTTCATATCAGGGTGGATTTTTATGGAAAATACCATCCATAATCCAACCTTCAAAAAGGTCATTCACCTCAAAAAAAGGTTTTTTTTTTCGTATTTTTTCACAATTCAAGGTTGCTTTTGGCAAGGGTATGGCTAGTTTCTAAAGATAGTTGTAAGGCTTTTATTAAGCTTAGAAGTGGTTCTTCTAGGTCAGTCGAAACTCACCAGCCTGCACCGCAGTACTTGGCCCACGTGGTCACTGCACGCCCGTAATTTAATTCATAGAATGGTTTCGCATATCAAGTGTAGTTCTGCATCTTTTTGTAACGCCGATGAGGTTCTTAGTATATTAGAGGTAAGGGCTTATTTAAATATTTTACTTAAGGTCCATAGGTTAATTTAAAGACTGGCTTGACGAACTCTGAAGCCCTACGCAGATATGAAGAAATTGGACCCAATGAATTTCAAGCCAAACCGCCAGACCCGCTATGGCTGAAATATCTTAAGCACTTTTTTGAACCCATGATTGGCCTTCTCATTGTCTCCGCTTTTGTCAGTATACTTATGGGACAGTTTGATGACGCTGTTAGCATTTCCACGGTATACGGTATTAACCCACTAATTTACACACTTGTTAGGCCATTCTTATTGTGGTCACAGTGGGTTTTGTACAGGGCTATAGATCAGAAAAGACGATTGAGTCTTTAAAAAAGTTAATGCCTCCCAAGTGTAATTGGTATGTGTATCTCTTCATAATTATTTTGCGTCAATTTAGCTTGCGTGAGGGGAAACTTTATTCAATAGTTGCCTCCAATCTTGTTCCTGGTGATGTCGTTTACCTTTCCCTTGGAGATCGTGTTCCTGCCGATCTACGCATAATTGAATCCTCCGATTTACGAATCGACGAGTCAAACTTGACTGGAGAGACTAAGGCTGTTGCCAAGCGCTCTAATCGTCTCCCTTCACAGCCCTCTGATCCCCGTCTCCCAAAGACTACTGAAGTTAGCTCCCCTTCCAACTCGTCTCAAAGTCCTGCATCTACCATTGTGTTCAAACGTAATGACAGTTTCGCCGGTTCGTGGGGAGATGGAGAGACCTTAATAAATCTTGGGCCTCTCTCAACATCACCTCGTTTTCCTCCGGAACGAATCGAGGGAGCTCATCGTCTCACCAACATTGCTTTCATGGGCACTTTGGTCCGTTCGGGCAATGCAATTGGCGTAGTTATAGCAACCGGGGAGCACTCAGAATTTGGCGAAGTGTTTAAGATGATGCAAACAGAAGAGGCTCCGAGAACTCCACTACAGAAGAGCATGGACCGGTTGGGGAAGCATTTATCGATTATTTCAGGCGTTATTATTCTTGGCATTGTATTTCTTGGCCTTGCTCAGGGGCGAAATCTCCTAGAATTGATTACCGTGGCTGTCAGGTGAGCACGGTGGCTTCTAGACTGAGTTATGCTGTCTCATTTAAGAATGTGAATATAAGAATCGGCTTCATTATTTCAGTCTCGCTGTGGCTGCGATCCCTGAAGGTTTGCCTATTGTAGTGACAGTTACTTTAGCCATTGGCCAAATGAGAATGGCCGCAAGGAATGCTATAATAAAAAAACTGCCTGCTGTTGAAACGTTGGGTAAGTAGTGATTTCTTTAAGATCAAGGTTTTTCCTCTGTCACTTTCACCAGCCTTTTTTACTTCTTTTCAGTCGATTTTTGATTCGATCAGATTGATTCAAAATGAGCTTTTATAGCCACTTAATTGTACGCATAACGCTCTAAAGAAGAATTTGTCCTAATATTGTAAGTATTCGGCATCGAGGTCTTGCCGCTTATCGATGCTTACCACTTTTATCTACCCCGTTGAACTTGGAATTGACCAAGCTCCTATTATGCTTAAGAGTGAATTCTTTTATCTGTGATCGGTGAGACCATTAAATACATGCTAAAGAGTAGACAGAACTCCATAAGCAATTTTTTCCTGTTAAACACGCAATCAACCGATCAAGGCGTTTTTATGACCTGTGCTGCTGTACCACTGCTTATCAAACTCGGTATTTTTTCTAGTTTGCCTCAAAAATGACCTAAATTATATCATTTCGATGAATGTATTATCCTATCATAAGTTAATGTAGCACTTTAGGTGTGTATTTGATGAGATAGACGAACTGCTGTGAGTTATTTTTTGCATTTTAAATATAAATGAAGTGTGTAGTAACTGTACGAACAATGCCGAATTTTCACAACTACATGGTCTGGATTCTAGGACTGGTTCAGCAAACATATGTAAATGAAACCACACAGATCTCACCTGAAGTTTACCTAGAATCGGTTGACAGGTAGAATCACTGGTTAACCAAAACAGTGGATTTTGCACGGGAACCATGACAAAAGACTAAAACATGAACTTTTTTATATAAAAGTGTTAGATTTATAAAAGAAGGTGCCAAATCGGGTAAATATAATCATAAAGCCTTAATCATTCAAGCCACCTCGTTTTATGGCATTTAACTTGCTTCCCCGTTCCACTTGAGCCTTGTAAAGTTTAGCTTCATGCCCTATGGAATATAAAAACCCAAAAAAACTTGGTCACTTTTATGAGCAACTTCCTCCACCCAATTCTTCCACAAGATCTAAGCTCCAATCGAAACATTAAAGTTTATTTCGTGGATTGTTTTAAATTCTGGCAATGATTTACCAGTTACGTGAAACTGATTGATCTTGTTACTTTCTGCACAAAAATGTTATATCCATTCAGACGGAGACTCAGTGATACCTTTCTGGCGACTATGAAAGTGATAAAAATGCGATTTTCTAGACATATTTAAACGTACACAATTGTGGCTCAGTAACATTTTAAAGTGTATAAATTTTATCAAGGTGTTTAGAACTTTCCAATGTTTGGGCTAAAATTTGGACTAGCGCCTCCATTATCTACTGCCTTTGTAGTGTCCAGTAAAACCGGCGGACAAACGTTGTGAATCGTTAGGCCAATTGATGGAGCTTAATCCGGCTCTGATAAGTTAAATGTCACGCAATTTGGGGTAGATTCTATTGTTTCTTCATGGAAGAATATCCTGGAATGTAAAGTGGTGAGGCTGTATGGCCTTGGTATTGAAATAAAAAGCTCCTGACAGTGGTGTATCTTTACCTTTTCGATTAAATGAGTCTCATAGTTAGGTTTGTTTCATTTCAAGACTTGGGTTCCGTTTGTTTTCAGCCCTCATTTTTTTCTCGCTATGTTCATCCTAAGATAGGCCAACCGGCACAGACGCTTGTTCTGCCTGGGTGCCTTCGCCTAGGCCCACAAAATTGGTCACTTTCTCGCCCCCAATGGCACATACACCGGGCAGTGTGTAACCCATGTGCTTGCCAGCCTAATTGGCTTCGTTTCTGCTTCATTCAAAGGCCAAAATATTTCCCTTCCTGTCTCTCTATCTAGCAGATCAACTGACTAATCTATTACTGGTCCTTAATTGATTAGTGTTTATTTTTTTAAAGGAAAGCTCTCAATTTCTTAGCCACTTGTCCATTTATAAAATAAGATTTCCGTGTCCCATCAAATACGGAAGCCTTTTAATGCGTGAAAATTTTGCTTGCCTACAAAGGTACGTATTTTTCTTACGTGAGCTCCGTGTTTCTATTTCTTCGTGCAAATATACATTAGAGTTGGTTTTTCAGAAAGGAATTATTAATTTACATCGCTTGTTTATATTTTTTCATCTGTTAGTAATTGCGTCCCTCAGGTCAATTATGGGGGAAATTTTCATAAAATGGGGGTTAACAACTGAAATGCCATTTTCAACCCCCATCAGTTGTTGGACCTGTCAATGGCTTGACACAACAACTTGCGAGTGATTCCGCGAAGTGCATTTGCAAACCAATCTGATGCAATTTGTCCATTCTCCGGCGTTTCAATGAGCTTATTTTGTCAGCTCTATTATAAGATTTTTTATTTTATCCGCTTTTACTGGAAAAAACCATTCACTTTAATGCCCTAAAATCTTACACTTTATTGAGTTAATATGTACTCGTCGTGCATTTTTTGTCCTAAAACTGGTATTTACTGGAGTTTTTGCTTGAGATCTATAACAGTTGAGAATGTGGAGCAGCCAGCAGGTAGGCCCTCAATGGCGACTCGTTATTCGTCCACAAGTTTTTTTTTTTTTCGAAGCAACCGCCAAAATCGCTGCGCCACAGAGCAATACGCGTTGTCAATAATTTTCTCGATTATGCAACCCTTCCTCAAGGGCACCATCTGCAGGTTGTTTAAAGGCATTTGACGCTAAAGTTTCATCTGGGCTTTTGACTTACTATTAAGATTTCACCACGAGTGTAAAATAACAATGGTAAACCCTCTCTACTCGATTTGAGTGGCTTTAGCAGCTGTGATCACTACGTCTAGGCATGGCGTTGAATTTTGACAGAGGTATATATCCTTTTCACATTCTAGGTATCACCTCTTACGATAACTGTTTTGCTGTGCGTTTAAGCGATTATTGCTAAAGATGGTCTTACAACCGGTTATGTCTTTGTCATAGGTCATTGCTATTGTCTTGATCTCTATGACACGGTCAACATTTTGATGGATCCTTCTCGTTGCCCGTTTGTGATACAAAAAAATAGGTCTGTGCTTTTTTAGTTGTTGCTAAACAATAAAACGGCTGAGCCTTGGGGGTCAATTTTCCTCCTAGACCAGAATATCTGCTGCTGGGAGGGGGGTCTCAATTGCTTCGTTACACCCGATTTCGAGCGGTTAAGTAATCACTGACAATTACTTTTCCTAACGTGTACTGGTGTTCCGCTTCCGGGCAAACATAATATCACTTTCTGGCAGCTTATAAGATGGTGTGGTAAATCCGAGTGATGGTGAGGGAAATCAAATACCACAATACCACAATTTATTTAGCCGTCATCTAAAATCCAAAAATCCTCTTATTAGCCCCGGAATATGGGACTCTTGCATCCACATTGTTCTCATTTATTGAGGACTCGATAAATATTCATAAAGCCCGTTTTACCAGCATCTGTTCTGGATGGAAATCGACCACCACAGGCTGGACAGTGGTAGTGAAAGCACTAAAAGTTGTCTTTCAAGTTTGTACCTTTTCCAAAATTTAACTAGTACCCTTGTCAAGAGGTCTTAGTTGTTGTCCATGGATTAATAAGTAGATTTTTCTCAATATTTGTGCTTAAATGCAATAGATGTGGTTCGCTCCAAAAGATGCGCGACAGCTTTAGTCTCATTTTAGATTATTGTGCCTTTGGGAAAAAATAACAGTGATTAAATGTGGTTTAGTGTGATTTTCGAATAGCTAGGTTTTGATTCTCACAAGAAATTTGTTATATATTTAAACATTCAAAGGTTATACCTAGTAAAAGTGGATATTAAAATGACTGATGGATCTGATTGTTTTGAAAGGTGGGAATTTGTTTCCGGGATATTTTATCCACCTGGGTAATGAACACAAAGGTGTTTCAGGAAAATGATTATTATCAGTACCTTTTAATTCCGTTAGACTGATCTCATTTATTCTTTCACCCGAACAGGGAGGATTCGGAGAGAACTTAGAGGCTTAAGCCAAACAGCACAATGAAAAGATCTTGATTATATCGAGAGACGATAAATAATTCCGGCTATATGTTGGTAATATTTCACAAAACTTTGGAAAGCAGGAGATCGCAAACTTTTGTTTTTCGAAAATAACCAAGGGTGGAAGGATTCTAGTACTTATTTAAGGCTCCCCGCAAAAAAATTCCGGGAATGTTTTGCCCTTTGATCCTCGCACAGGCTGCGTGAACGTGATTTGCGCTGACAAAACGGGCACCATGACAAAGAACGAAATGACGGTGACATACGTGGTCACCAGTGCCTTGGAACGCGCCACTGTGAGTGGTGTGGGCTATAGCCCGGCTAACGGGGCCATCACTCTGGAGCGCAGGTCGCATTCTGCTCTGCATCATGCCAATCTTCACCGATTGGTCGAGGTGAGTCACAATTCCCACCAGTTAAGCATTAGCCAATGAAAATACTTGTTCTTTCAAAGCAATTAGGAAGGGACATACTGCTTTTGACTTCAAGTGAAGGCAGGTTAAGACGTGTTCGCTTCAGGTAATCATTCTTCCTATTTGACTGTTGGCCAACTAGGCTTAGTTTACGCTCTGCTCAGACTAAAACTTATCTACATGGGAAGCGATCAAATTTTGTTCATATTCTGGACAAAGTGCGATAACTCAGTTCTTGCTCACTTATTGAAAAGCGTTTCTTAAAAAAATAAGTATAAAATTAAAATTGACTTTGGTAATTTTAGATGTTTATGCGGAAACAAAACAGATGGGCGATCTGATTAACGTTTAGTCAGGATATTTTGCACAAGGTCGTGCTTCTGATTGGTCAGCAGCTGACCAATCTAATTTGGCCTGCGTTTGTGTGGTTAAATTTCTTGACTCGTTTTGTTCATTTTGTGGTTTGTAATCAGTTAAGTGATGCTTTGAGGTCACTCCATTCTATTACACAGGAACTGAACTATGGGTGCTCATCGATTAAAGCTGTCTATGACCTTCTAATCTAACTTAGTTACGTAAGGAAAATTATGTTCATGTAAAAGTAGTGATTATGGAATCCTTTCAATGGCGACTTGTAGGGATATAGCATTCCATAAACATAAAAAATACTCATAATTTCTGTTGAAAGGTCAACCTGTGCTATTAAAAGAGCTAGTAAAAGAGGAGCAGATATTCGGGTTTAATGGCCACACGTGGCAATTTTTCCACGCTCCATCATTTGAATCAAGGATGTATTCTAACTGTATCAAAATCTGCTAACGCACTTTCTACCGAAAAGTCCAGATTTCAAGCCACACATCCATTGATTGGTTAAAGCGAGGTACACGAGAACTAACTCTGCTATATGATTAAAAGCTTACTTGTTTATGTTAGTTCTACGTTGAATTGCCACTTCGTATGCAAATTTTCTATTCTTGCCTGTAAAGGTCCGATTTCAACGCGTAATTTTTACCTGTTCAAATCATTTAGCTTAGGCACAGGGATCATAAATATGGTTAACTATTGTAGATTGGAGCCCTGTGCAATAATGCCTCTCTGAAGGATGGCGTTCTCTGCGGGCAGCCCACAGAGGGTGCTTTGCTTTGCTTAGCAGCAAAAGTAAGCTCTCCCTTAATTTTAGATTATTATGATCGGTGACCTTCCTCGCTGGCATTTCATTCATTAAATCGAATTATGATGGATGCTGACCCGATTTTTGTCTGTATTCGTCTCATATAAAGGTAGAAATATTAAAACAGGATTTTTTATTCAGATGCAAGTTCCTGATCCGCGATTAATTAATACGCGTATAAAGGAGTGGCCATTCAATTCAGAACGGAAAATGATGGTCGTGCAAGTTGCCTCAGCAAGACTTAGCGTAGGTCGCTTTGATACTGCTTTGTTTTGCTGCCAATTTTACAGCTTCAGGAACGTTGTGCCACTCCTAAACTCGTGTTTTTCCCAGTTGAAATTATAATGAATACATAAATTCCCTAAATTGTGACACACACGGGACATTTTATTGGTACTTTATATCCACGTAGCCTCCATGAGATTTTATTTATTGCCCCAAGTCTTCCTTGAAGTCGTAACAAGCCAAATTACTGTGGTGAAAAATACTACTTTTCTAACGTGCAGAGGAATTTGAGAAGCTGTTGGGATAGTCCGAAGACCATGCCGTAGATCGGAAGCGAAATCGGAGGCAATTTAAGTACCCACACAGTGCAGCAGACAAGTAAACAAAATGCCAAATCACTACGCACCCTCTCTCTGCTTTTGGGTGTCGCCAGCAGCCCTTCCTTTGGCCAACCTTCCATGCCTATCATCGCAAAGTAGTCGGTGCTTAAAAACTACTCGGCTGCATTGCTTTGCCTACTGGTAAATGAACTGAGGACATAGAGTCTGATTTTTCGACTAGAGCGTGCTCTTAGTTAGGAACGTCGTTGCGCTCCTTGCCTTGCGTCAGTTGAGGCGTTTAATATCAGAGTCTCCGAAGAAAGCCCACCAGCTAGCTTGTTTACGACTGGATTTAATGTAGGGTACGTGTCATGTTTGTGACCTGAATCTCAGTTACGAAAATCGTGGCGTCGTGTGTGATGTTGGTAGGGAATATGTCGTTAGAAATTATTAATTCATTTCAGAACCCTCGACTCCTTTTCAAACATGTTGTTCAATTTCTCTACTAATGTTTCAAAAGTGTACTTTTCTTTGTCGATAGGCTTGCGCAAGGCCTGTGAAAGCTAGTGTGCTCCACTCTGCTATCGATATGACAGTATAAATCTAGCTTTGGTAGATAAATTAGATCTTAATATTGAGAAAACAACGTTGTAAATCAAATTTGAAGTAAAGATGAGTTGAATTATCAGAATCGGAGAGATTTTCGGTGATACTTAACTCTTTAATTTAGCATTGCATTTAACAGTTCGGCTTGCCTTTTATTGGAACTTTTGGTGCAAAATTCCTCCCAAGTGATTAAATGGCATTAGTAATTTTGACGGCTCTTTCAGAAACCCTGCACCTCCAGCTACTTCATCAAAGGCGCGCCAGACCGTGTGATTCCGCTCTGTACGTATTATCGTTCCACGGCTATCACCTCTATCACTGAATTAGGCCCAGTGGCACCGCTAGGCGAGTCGGAACGTCTCGGTATTTTAGCAGAGGCATCACGCATGGCAGCGAGCGGTGGTCTGCGAGTTCTGGCACTTGCAGAAGGCTCCTCTGTCGATGGCGAATTTATCCTTGCCGGGTTGGTGGGTCTCCTAGACCCTCCAAGACCTGATGTGGAGAGTGCGGTGGAGACGTGCTATCTATCCGGTGTGCGTGTTATCATGATCACTGGTGACTCGAAGGAGACAGCTTGTGCTATCGGTGAGGCATAATATTGACAAGACAGTTTATTATGAGTACGTGTCATTTGCAGCTTTAAATTCATTCTGTTTCAGGCTCCCGCCTTTCACTCTACCGATCAGGTGACATGTGTTTAAGTGGAGACGAGGTGGAGGCAATGGACATGCATCAGTTGCAGTCGCAAATCCACTGTGTCACTGTCTTTTACCGCACTGGTCCGCGTCACAAATGTAAAATTGTTAAGGTAAAATACTAATTGCTCTTCTTATGTAAAGAGAAATCTCTATCCACGTGGCTGTCGGTTAAAGTTCTTGCACGGGAATCGTCTTAAATGTTTGCCATTCGTATGAATCCGCCTTTTCCTTGCTTTTTTTTCGTTTGAAGCGTACATTGTGACCTTGAACCAGTAGGACCCTTTTTGGTATATTTTCTGGACCTTACAGTGATACTATTTGTTTCAGTCGCTTTCATTTAATCTCCTGTGCGTCAGTAGGTTCAATCTATCAAAGTGGTACATGATTTGTTTCTTTAGTATGCCTGACGAAAGAGTGAATCCGAACAACAATTTTGTTGCCTATTTGTAAATTTGGGCTGTGATGAGAAAATTGGGCCGTCATATATGTGCGTCTGCCTGTCCGTTAGGCGCTGCAAAACCGCGGCTTGGTAGTGGCCATGACTGGGGACGGAGTGAATGACGCAATCGCACTTAAGTCGGCTGACATCGGAGTGGCCATGGGCGCTAGCGGCACCGACGTCTGTAAGGAGGCCGCAGACGTCGTTCTCCTCGATGACGCCTTTGCCTCCGTCCTAGCGGCTATGGAGGAAGGCAAGGCGCTCTTCGCCAACATCTGCAATTTTATCCGCTTTCAACTCTCTACGTAAGATCACTCACTTGTTTTGAAAAGAATAATGTCCTCTTACTACCTACGAGTAGATGACGTGTTTGTGATCGTCCGCTTTGCCTGTTATTCTATTTCTTAACATAATTTTGACAACTTTGGTACAGTTTTGCGTAGCACTCATGAAGCCAGGTAGTGTTCTGTCTTCTTACATACAATGCTGTTACTCAGTACTAGTCTATTTTGACGCGGTTCAAGGCGTTTGCTTCCATTTATTTTGCAAAATTTCGGTTTTATTGCGGCTGTAAGGATGAATGATGAGTTTTTCTCTCGCTAATAATGAACGGGGAAGATATTATACGGGGAGTTTCTGGAGTGATCCTGTCACCGCTTTCTGTTAACAATTAGGTTGTCGATTGGTTGAATTATAAAATCGCTCTCTGTATTATTTAGATTAGAATTGCTATGTACTGTAATGACAGCACTCATTCCTTTGTTTTATGGATCACTCGAGGGTCTCATTTTGCTCGGATTTCTCATATCTAAGCAGATTTCATCAAATCTACAGTAAAGGTTATCGATATGAATTTTTATTATATTGTCCTTTTAAGCTCTGCCCAGGCGAATAGAATGTAGAAATAAGGGATTAAACTGTGAAATTTTTCCTTCAGATCCATCGCTGCTCTCTCGTTAATAGCGGTGTCTACAACCCTCTCCCTACCCAATCCTCTGAACGCCATGCAGATCCTTTACATTAACATTCTGATGGACGGCCCGCCAGCCCAATCCCTTGGTGTTGAACCACCGGACGCTGATGTGAGCACTATCTTTGGTTTCCTCTCCATCTCTTGAAATTCCCCTCAACCGTTTTTCTACAATTAAGTGGCCTAAATATTTCTGATTCAAAGGTTGTAAATCAGCCACCGCGCCATGTCCAGGAGTCGATATTGGATAGACGCCTCATTAAGAGCGTTCTCATCTCGGCCCTTACGATTGTTTGTGGAACCCTCTTTGTATTTCATCGTGAAATGACTGCCGACGGGAAGGTTACACCTCGTGACACAACAATGACCTTCACTTGTTTTGTCCTTTTTGACATGTTCAACGCACTTTCCTGCCGATCCCAGGTACATATGCTCCTACTGGATATACAAGTACTTTGACTTATTGTTTTAATGAGTGGGGCATTTGTAAGTGTTTGGCATTTTTTTCCCCTGTAGAAAAAGTCAATCTTCAAAATCGGCTTTTTCTCAAATCGCGTTTTTGTGGTGGCCGTAAGTTTGTCTTTGATCGGGCAGATTTGTGTTATCTACTTCCCACCGCTTCAATCTGTCTTCCAAACTGAGGCCATCTTTGCCAGTGGTAAGTTCGAATTAACTGGAATTTTTAAGTCCAAAATATTACTTTTTTTATTGTTCCTTTTCGATCTAAACAGCATTGACTTTTGAGTTTGCATTAGACTGATTAAATTATAAGTAGAATGAAGGCATTCCCTCCTCAACAGATAAATTCATTTGATATATTTGTGTCGAAACGATCTCATAGGTAGTTTTTGGCGTATCCGATTCTTTTGAATCCGTTATGCAGGAGGGCGGAAGATATATTCTAAGGTCCACAAATGCTCTTCAACTCGTTTTGCTGCTCCGTGTTAATGGGTTGGTAGCCTAACTGTCGGTTACTGGAAGGAGAGGACTGCGTTTGTTTTTCGGTATGGCCTCCTCGGCCGTTTATTTACTTGTCCAGTATTTAACTAACAGCCGGAAAGCTTCACCAATGGGCAGTTTGTCAGTATAATTAGAATATCTTGGGCACTCAGTTTGTACTAGCTTTTAGACTTTGTAAATGTGTGTGAATGTGCAGTTTCACGAGTCATTATGTGTCAAATAGGTGTACATAATTAGTTAGTTATTCGCTGCATGATCACGGCACTGACACCCACTGCTGTGGTCTGGGTACCGCCAAGATCGAGGTCGTCGATGGCTGCGCGTTTTTGAAATGTCTAACCCACTTAAATGACTTACTGCCATTGGAGCTCCCGTCACTATTCTGCGGTGGCTCTAAAGCCGTCCATAAGTGTCTGTAGGCTTTATGACCTGTACACGATTTTGCCGTTATCTTTCAGACGTGCCCTGTGGCCATTAGTAAAAGGGCGCACCTTTTACACTTCTGAAGGTCTCGCTTTGTCTTGGTCCTCTCGTAAATGCACAATCAAGGCTATTTAAACTAAACCAGATCCTTTCATCCGATTAAAACTCCGGCATATTTTTTTATAGATTGGCTTCTTCTCCTCGCCATATCAAGCAGCGTTTTTATAATTTCGGAGTATCGCAAGTCGAAAATAAGTGTGTTGCAACTGCTTTACCCATGGAAGTTCTTCCATCGTCTCTGGGGGAGGCTTCAACGCTATCTTCATCGTGGCTCCTGTACTGAAATCTCAAAGTCCATTGTCTAGTCTCTCGCCCCTTTATCTCCTCTCAGTTTTTCCTTCTTTTATGAACGAGTCGTCTATGTAATGACATTTTATCATATTCATTGTTGAGCCTGGAAGTCTGGAGATGGGTTATTTTGATAAAGTCAGGGTCACTAGGGCGGCAGATAGCTACGACATTGGTCTTCCTTCATCGACTAGATCAGCGACATGACTTGTAGGTGGCGTGGTATGAAGGGCAGTTTGTGCATGGAGCAAGGAATTGGCGGAACTTGAACTTGCAGGGGTTCGCAGAAGACCTCAGATGCGATACGGTGGTGAAGCACTTAGTTGGATTAAGGCACTTGAGTGATGTAAATACCTTGATGATATCATTACATCAGTTGGAGCTGGTCCTGGTCGTAGTTGCAGGTACCTCGCACTAGTTGATATTGTCAGTGCTTAGCCTCACTGAGGGTAGCCAATGCGTAATTTTTCGTGAAGTGGCATAAAAGGTGGGGTTTTTTAAGAACGGTGGACACAATTAACAACGCAGATATTCCGTTCTGGAATTACTTTTTTTCTTTTAACCAGCACAGAAAGGTTGAGGGCTGAGTGAAGTAGAAAAGACGATTATTTAGGGAAGGTTAACATTTGAATACAGTACTTCACCCGCATTCAAAGTGAGTGTCAAAGCAGAGGCAGTACGCGGGTTACGGGGACACCGACGGTGAAGTGAAGTAGAATGTTTGGGATGCCTCAGCCGTATTGGCCGATCGCTTAGCAGCGAATGCGCTTTCCAGGCATTAGTCAAAATTGCATGTGGACTAGACAACAGTTACGCTTCATGAAAAGAATTTATTTCTTAATCAAAGGACTCTGCTTATTCTTCGAAATGCTGCGTTTGGTCGAGCGCTTCTACGAAAAGAAGGTGGAATACGGGTCGTTGCGTCTGTGAAACACTACCACGTAATAGCCACAAACTATCAAACCAGCCCTTCTCCTATGCATTTTGCAATATTTTCGGAATTTACACCAATTTTTCAGTGCGTACTGCCACTATTGATGGTGACTACGGTCTCTCACGACAGCAATTTGTTGAACCTTATCTTGCCAAATTCTCGACTGGTTCCGATTTATGAGAAGGCTCGGTATGGAGGAAAATGGGACCAATGTAGGGCAAGTGAGCATCTACTCAACTGTCATCGTTTAAATATATAGAAGTAGGACTTCGAAAGAACTGGGCCTTTGAGTCCTCTTCCTCCTTTATAGAAAGCCCTTCCTCTACTGTGTTCTGCTTCTCTGACTCATGCAGCCTTTGTGAAGCCTAAGTACGCTAGGGGAGACTCCTTTCTTCAAAGTGGAAACCAAAGGTTATATACCAAGTGCACGGTTGCCAACTGATCGCCCATTGGTCAAGAGCCACGCGGGGTGCTGCTCATACCTTCCACCACACCGGATCGATCGACCTTACATAATTGATCGGTTGCCCAGAGCGTCGTTCACGGTCATTTCTTATTGGTGTTGGTGAAACCTCTGCGTCCGTGTGCCAGAGGCTCAACGTACTCCTGGAAATTTGTCTTTTGAAGTGGCCTTTCCGCATATACCAAAGAGAAGACCACTGTCTCAATCAAATTTTCTTTTTGCCCATATGTTCATATGGCCTGAAATGAAGGTCAGATTAAAAAGGTTTGTTTTTGTAATTATATTCTTACGTAAAATAAGATGTTAAGTGATTATTTTGAATTCTTGGTCCTAAATGGGGGATGTGTATTTGCATGCACTTTCTCTTCATGCAAGAGGTATTTGTGAATGGTCGTTAGTTCCTTTTTACCGCAGTTAAGCAGAGTTTCGGCGTTGCTTTTGCATTCAAATGTAGTTAAATCCGGTTCAAAATGAGCAGTCGGTCCAAGGAGGTATTCATTGATACATGCGTGAGGTTATGTATAATAATTCCTCCATATTCTTGAAGGATTTTATTCACAAATACCCGTGATATCCCCAATATTACACGATATTATGAATTCATTCTTCACGGTGCCACGTCAAGATTCCGACACGTTTTTGGGCCTTTGATAGGTTCTTTGACTGGCATTTAGATCAGTATCGTGCTATCTTATTTAGCTCAACAATAAAACCACTGTGGAGGGCTTTGCAGTAAAACCAGCAACAGATATCTCTTCTGCTGCTGTGCTTTACTGCAAACACCTCCACAGGCTGCGTAGATTGTTGTCGTTGCGCCAGTGTTGATCCCCGTACTTCCAAATAGCTTCATAAAAAACACTTTTGTTTCGTTCTCTTCTACGCCTCCTTCATTCCACCCTTTTGATATCAACGTGAATAAGTCGATTCCTTTTATCCACTATTTATTTGTGACAATAAATTTTAAAAATTGTCCATTTAGAATTGGAAATCGATCGAAATTCCAAACAAATTGATAAAATGTCATTTTTGTGTAGGCAGCTTGGATTCACATCAACCGATTTTATGGTCCGCTGCCTCTATTGTGCAGAAAATTAAACAAGAAGGATAATCTAGACGATCTGTTTTCTTATCCAGATTATGAATGGATCCAGTAAATCCGCGGGTCAATCCTGTTTTGACACTGAATCGTTCAGATAGAAGAAGGATTTGATAACTTTCTGACCAGTACCGGTTTCCAGCATTATTTCTCCCCGATGGCTCGTGATTTAGCATCCACGGACGTGTAAAACATTGGCGGATGTCAGTCAGTCATCGATGTGCTTGTTTGGTTCCCCGCGTATCATGAATTATTGGTGAAACGCGACGTAATATGAACCTGCAAACTCAGCTGGATAAAATGAAGAAGCGTTTTGGGTACATTATTGTAGAACATTTGGAAAGGGTGTGCTAGCAGAATGTTCCAGTTAAATTGATAATGTGTAGATGGAATACCTCGATGTTTGCCACATTCTGGAAAAGCTTTTCTTCCCTAATTATAAGGGTGAAGAGCCACTTGTCGCTGTTGACACGTCAACTTGGGGTTGGCGTGTTAAGGCCATCTGCAATATTAAGCGATTTTTTACGGTCGCACAACTAGTGAGGTCGTTAAATTGGGCATATAGGAACGACTTTCCCTAACCGAGCTGTGACTCGCAGAGAGGTCACCATTCTGATCTAGATCCACTTACTTAACATCTCTAAATTGACGCCCTCAACTACTTAAATAACTACTTAAATTGCTTCGTTTTTATCTTTTCTAAGTTCTTTCCTACAACAAGACGTCCCTCAGTAGTGGAAGGTCAAAATGCTAAATCTGTCCATTAGGAACTGGTGTATCTAAGGGTAGGCTTACGATGGCGAAGTTTTTGGTAACCAAATTGACAAAACATTTCGGCGGCACTTCTGAATTTTCTGCTAAAATACTGATTTCACAGCGATTAAGTTATCTGGACTTGTAAATAAGGTTGCCTTTGCAAAGATGCTATTTTTGTTTTATTTAAGTGCATCTTCCTTTGAGGAATTAAAATGAATTATAATAAGAAACTTGCAAAAAAATCTTTTTCCTCCAAGCCAATGCGGGATGGAAGAACATGCTAATTACCAGTGTAGGTAGGAGCTGAGTGAGTACTGCATGGTTCAAAGAGCATGGCAGGTGGAGTAATGCAATCTGTCGAGACCATGGTCCCCACCCAGTTGAATAAAACAACCTGTTACTGCTTAGCTCTTCCCCTCCTTAGAGCTTCATTTCCCCGGTGCTTTCCTTGGTCAACCTACTGCATCGGTCACCACAACAAAGTCGGTGTTTTAAAACCATCTGAGAATCTGGTATGCCAGAATCTAACTTCTTTTGCATGTGGGAAGGTATCTTAATGTCACAGATGTATGTCGGCAATTCCACCGTTTTCAACCAATATTGTGCTTCAACAACAAAAGCAATTTGCCTTGTACCTCCTGAGAGTCATTTCATAATGTAATTCTAAGTCCAGTTTTGGCAAAGAAATCCCTCTAATATGTGGTTATAGTTTGGAGAAACATTTACACGCTCTCAGACAATAATGATTGAGCATTCCAATCTATCGTATTCTCACTGCCTATCACCTTCAAATCAGTAAGAGCTGTTTACCCCTCTCAAATGCAGTCCTGTAGCTTACGTTGGTCTGCGGGTTCACTAAAAAATAAATCAGAAGCTAAAACGGAAAATTTTAAAATGCCTTGTAAAAGCTGCTTTGTTAAAATATTCTCCTCATTACTTTTTATCATGAGAAGGCAAAAATAGACAACGTTGTCTACGAAAAGAAACCTATCGCAAAACAGAAGAATGAATAACAAAGAATTATAGACTAGATTTAGATTTTTGTAGTTGTAGAATTCGCGTTATGTATTTTCTCTGGCAAAGTTGCTCAATCTTCTAATGTTATTAAAATAAGATTTCCCAGAGTCCCGGTAAATGCGTAACTCTTGAAGGTGAGCGGCAACACATAACGTCATCTTGACTTGAGATATTAGTTGCCTTACTGAACATAGCTCATAAATGATTCACCAAAATCATTATTTTTAAAATTTTAAGACTCTTACATTTGCTCGAGAACAAGCTTCTGGCAAGGGCACTCTCAATAACCGCAAATAACCGCCATTACATAAAAATACGGTGCCCCGATTGTCTATTCAACTCCTCATTTTGGTTTCTCGATCGCCTAATGATCTCCCTTTACTTTAAGCGATAATACCCTAGTGCACCAATTTGACGTCATCTATACGATTTCTCCTATTACTTTAAAAAATTAAGGGATATGGCATATTTCAAAGGCTATCAATATTCACATTTCAGCGTGCTTCATGCAAAGTTAAAAATGCTATATAGAATTGTCCAGTTGGCGGAAAGTCAGCTCAAGTTCATCTGCTATAGTAGCTAGGTGTTCACTCAGGGCAATAACAAACTTGAGATAAAATTACCAATGTCTTGATCTAACCCATTATTCCGAGCAATGCCAGAGACATCAGCACATTTACAACTCTTTTAATACAACAATGCATTTGCTGATCCTTCAAAAAGCCCCAAAAGTGAAAGGTAGAATGTAAAATATGGTGAAATGAAGAAGAGGTAGGAATATAGAACTAGACCGCAGGGTAAAAGGAGAAGACAAAAATATTTGGCAGCTTTTCCAGCAGTGTTTATAACAGGCAAGGGATTTATAATGAGTTTCTAAGACTTCACGCCAACGGATTTCTTGGCGCAAAGCTTGACGAGGTGGGAGAAGTGGGTTTGCTTGTCAGTCCTGCTCTCGATATAAAAAATGATTGCTTCCGAGACCAGACCGTGTGAGCAGGAGCTGTCCGAGGTGTACACCAAGATCCACTATTGAGTGGCTGAGATAGTAGTTATCCAACTAGAGGACGTCTGTCCCTTCCACTCACTTGTTGCCATTTCGTTACGCTGTAATCTCAGACGAGGCAGCGGAGCGTCAGAAAAAAAGATAAAGATGAAGTTCTGTTTGATTAAAATTGACCCTTAAGGAGATGCTACGTGGTTAGACAATATAGATACAGTTTATTTCATTCTGAAACTAGAGGAATGGTGATAATATTGGGGACCTACTAAATGAGACAAAAATTTAGAGGACAAGAGCCTATTGTGATGAGGCGATAAACAGTGTTGTCGTTTGTAGGTAAATTCTCAAACCGTGAATTTTTTGTGCCTGAAATCGACTCAACAGCAAAATAACGGCGTCGCAAATGTGGCCTTGAATAGCCTTTTACATGGGGTTGGTGATAAAGACTTATGAGTTTCCTTTATTCGTCGACAGAGTTCAAGGGCTCTTTAATGCGTCGCCTCTCCCGTTTCCTCCACCTTCTTAACCCAAGTAACCAAATCAACTCAGTCCAAGTCCGAGGAAATTTAGAGCACATAACGAATCGGGGTAGCTCATTTTACGAAGTAAGTCTCCGCTGTGTTGCAGTCGCCTTGCTCTCCTTCGCTCTCCTTGTATTTATATATGTCTGCTCGATTTCTGTTTGAGTGGAGTGGGACGTGAGATAACTTCGGTGGCGTCATTAAATGACAGCACTGTAAACAGTTCGGCAGATAGTGTTACGAAGGTAGCTCTCAGTTGTATCGTAGTGCTCCTCAACTCTTTCCGCCCTTGTATTCGTGAACAACAGTAAGTAGTTGTGATTTGCCAACTTCTTTCCTTTTTCTCACCTCAAAAATTTGAATTAAAAAACAGTTTCTTAATTTGTGGGATAAAACTGAGGTCCACAATAATACGCAAACGCCATGAACATCAGAGCCGTGATGATGCTAATCCATTCATCTAGCTGATTTGATTTAAAGGATACAATTCTGTTGGAAAAATCAAAGTAACAAGCATTTTTCCCTTTTACTTGTAGTTTGAATTGTCGATCTGAAGCACAACAGCAAAAATCAACTTTTGCTGGGGCATGTTTAATTTCTCGAATTCATTTCCGTTTAAAACTTTTTAGAGGTTTTATTTTTTTGTCATATTTCTGAATAGCTAAAACGCCGCAACAGTCGTGGCTATGTTTGATTTCTCCGGTTGATTGGTATCACTTATGGTTAGACTAAAGGTGCTGATAACCACTATGATGTCAATTACGGCATTTCAAAGCCCACCATGACTGAGAGTGGTAGAGCAAGCAAGTCGTATAATTGTGTTCCAGAAAGCCTGAAAATATAGCTTTAATGCTCTATGACTAAGGGAAAACCTCTATATTTCACTTTGATCATCGTAAATTAGGTATGGACAAGCATGAAGTGAGCAATGCAATTGGCTCCAGGGCTTATCCAATCAAACAATCTTTTAATCTGATAGGCTAACAAACTGAAGGCTGCATGAATTTATAAGGTAAAAGGAGGGATAAAATCTACTTATTACATCAGCTTTTGACTTTTTCAGTCAAAATCAAGTGACTTGGACGATGGCGGAGACAGATAGCAAAGCATATGGCAATGAGGAGACGCGGTGGGTAGGGTGCTTAAGATTTGAGGATCTACGTCATCGTAAAAAGCTTTTAGATTTGAAGATTGTGGTAAGTGAAGGTGGTGCTAGCACTGCTGATTGAATAGATTGTTGCCACATATTTTTTTCTTTACTGAAATCGGACGCACTGTTTGTAGACCTGCGAGCGCCGAGAGATCAGTGCACACCGCATTGTGCTGGCGGTGCGATTTCCTCTCATTGAGAAGGCGCTGCCTGCTGAAGCGAACAATTGCCTCTTGTGGACACGTTTCTCTGCGGAGTAAGTTTTGCCTCATTTTTCACCTACTCGCAGCTTTCCTCACAATCCTTAGACTCGACTTTGGCTCTGCTGGGCTTTAAGTTCACCATGCATCACTTTACAGCATTGTGGAGGCGGCTCTTTCCTACGCCTACACTGGCGTCGTACAAATCAACTCAAACAATGCGTTGTGTCTCTTCCTGCTCGCAGTCAATCTTGGCTGCGAAATCATCATGGACTGGTGTGTCGATTTTCTTAGTTCCAGGTGAGTGCCCGCCACTTTATCAGGCAAACCAGGTTACTAGTATTTGCTGTTCATCACACCTACCGACTCACCTCCTGCCTCCCTCTTTCCATCGAACAGGGTTAACTTGGACAACGTAGCTGAGGTGTGGGCTGTGGCTAACTCCACCCTGCACGAGAAACTCATGACCCTCTGTCTGCCAGTTATCAGAGTTCACTTCGAGAAACTCATAACGAACTCGGTCTTTAGCGCTTTCATGGAGCCTAAGGGAATGGCCGCCCTCGTTGCCGACCCTCTTGTCGAGGCGAAGAAAGAGGGGGAAGTAGAGGTGGACATTCTAAAACAGTGGGCTATTTGCTGCTGGCTGGACAACTCATGTCCCGCCAACGCTTCCAATTATCGTGTTGATCAATTCCAGCGTCTGATCTCCTATCTTAACATGAAAGCACTTCCGCTTGATATCCTCAGCTTGCTTCGCGACATGGCAATAGAACTCAATGTCTTAAATGAACACAGGTGAGAACAAAAGTGAATAGATTAACGTAACCGCCTTCAAATTTGGACGAAGGATGGATGTGATATGTTGATCTTTTAGAGAACAGATTACTAAGGCACTTAAGGATCAAAGAGGTGTTCTTGCTCCACCCGCTACATCATCTTCTCCATCGCTTTGGAGGTAAGGTCAATTCGGGGCATCAAATGTCCTCTGTATTCAGAGGAGGTCTTAACAATTTACGTTTGCTCTAATACTTATCCAAAAAAGGGCTTAAATAAATGGTTGTGCATTCCAATTTAGGAGAGATCTACTTGCCTATGGTTCCTTCGATAAATCAAGGCAAAAATGCCTTCTTACGGGCATCCCCGAGTTAGAAAGCGGCTCTGATTTTCAGTTTACATTGCCTTATCGAGAGGGCTGTGCGGTAGTCTATATTCGAAGTGAGCAAGCATAAACCACATTAGGAAGTCCTCAAGCTGATGCAGCCAAAAACCTAACGCATCGTGATCTTCCATTACTTTTAGATTGGGTCTGTGTAATCGGTGGTGGCAGTCCAGTCGGATCTTCGGAGGTGGATGTATTAAACCTGGACTCTGGCGAACTAACCGAAAGGCCCTAGGATGC